ATGTTTTGAATAAATATAAATATAATTATTGAAAAAAGGTATAGAAATAAAAATTTTAAATGAATTTTAAGTGAATTTTCTCTCTATATATTTAATTATTTTGAAAATAAAAATAAAAATATTAAGTCAATTTATTTTTTATATTATATTAAAAAAATAATTTTATATTCAAAATATCACATCAATATTTATTATACAATAATTTTAATTTAAAATTTTAATTCCAATCCCAAAATTCAAACTTCCTAACAACATACACTTTTTCTTTGAAATAGTATCATGATTTTTCATGTTAGGTAATTGATTTATTTAATTACAAACAACCGATGTGTCTAATTAAAGTATAAGCAAATTGACCATTTTCTCCTTCCTGTTCATCACCACCATTATTTTCTCCAAATATATATTACTCCTATTTAAAAAATAATGATTTAATATAATAATCCCTCAATCCCATAAATATAGTCTTAATTGGGTTGGATACGATATTTAAGAAATATTGATATTATATTGATAGTTGATGTAAAATATGGATAAAAGACTTTTTTGCTATTATGAATATATTAGTGTAAAAAATAGTGACAATTCTGTAATAAAACTGAAAAAGTAAGAGTAATTTTACGGTGATACAGTTATTTACGAAAATATGACTATTGTTTTGTAACTGATAAAAATAGTAGACAACATTATTGTATTGGGACGGAGGAAGTATTTTAAATAATATATTGTGTTTATTTGTGAAATTTTACTTTTGAATTTTTATTTTTAATATTAAAGTTTTAAATTAAAATAATTGTTTGTATAATATAAATATATATTAATATAATATTTAAAATATAAAATTAAATTTTAATGTAATATTTTATAATAAATGAAAATAAATTTTGATTTAATATTTTTATTTTTTTAAATAATAAAATTAACATAAAAAAAAATCTCAAAATAAACCCATTCAATAATTTTGAATAAAAATGCATACAAAAACTTTCATCGTAATATATTTTCCTATTACATTATAAAATTAAAAAATTTAAATAAAAAGTAATCCTACCTACAATATCAAATATAGTATTATTCTCATAAATAAAATTTATTTTGCACATTTAATCATATAGCACTGAAGATGTCTGCGTGACATGTCGGATGATACATGTCCGCTAAGGCAACGCCAACTAGCGGACACAGTCAGCGCTACTTGCCGGACACATAGATAATTTTTATTTTTATTTTGTATTTTTAAAAATTTAAAAAGTATATTTATAAAAAGAACAATAAAATAAAATTTAAGTTAATAAGTATCTGTCAGGTGACGTTAACCTGACGGACACGTATCGTCCGACATGCTACATAGATGCTACGCATGCATCTCCGACACCGGAGAGTAAATATGTGAATATTTTTCACTTACGAGACTATATTAAGATAGTCTTGACTAAAATAATAAAGGATTATGAGACTAAAAAAACCATTTATTTCTATATTATCGATTTACATAAGAAATATTAAGGGTGTGTTTGTTTGTGGGTTTGAATTTGAATAGTTATTTGATGTGATATAAATAGAAGTTGATGTGATATTGTGAATGTAAAATAAATTTGTAGTATAATATATATTAAAATTGATTTGATATTTTTTTTAAAAAAAATTGAATAATAAAAACTTATTATAAAATTCACAAAAGAACACAAATTAAAATATTTTCATTTTACGGTTTTATTCAACTAAATAATATTTTTTTACGGCCACAAAAATATATATAAATACATATTTTATTTTTCAGAAAAAAAGATTAATAAGTATTCAATAAAAGAATATTCTTTTTTATACTATAATTCTCATACTTTATGAAAAAATACTTTAAATTAAAATACTAACAAACACACCCTATTTTTTCAGTTTTCTTTTTGTTATATAATTATTTAATAAAAATAGATATTTTCTAAATATTATGTTAAATTATTTTAAATAAAATATAGGGATTGAATTTTAAATACACTATTTATCTCATTTTTCTCTCCAAAAATATCAAATCAAACTCATATTTTTTATTTTTTATATTATACTAAAAATCAATTTTACATTCAAAACATTATATTAATACTTATTTATATCGCATCATACAATTACTTAAATTCAAAATTTTTACTATTCAAATCCTACTCAAAATCCAAACCCCAAAAAACATACCCTAAAAGTACATATAATGGCTAGCTTCTATCCAAGTACATATTGGTATGTAAAAACTTCTATTTTTATTGAAATAATTTTGATATTTCAACATATATATATATATATATATGACCTGTCGCGCGGTCAATCAAATATTTTACCTACTTTATGATCACAATTTAATGTAATATAGAGGAAGGGATCGTCTCCACAGGAATTGTGTGATTCACTCTTTCGTGTTCTAGTGCAGTAAATAAAGGGGGGATTTTATTTTATTATCTAATAATAAAATAACAAAGCAATTAAATTAAAAGGAATTGACTATAAGGGGATGCATGGCTCAAGGATGCAGTTATGGCACTTGTCAATAAAATTAATTCTTATTAAAATATCAATAAATTGGTTATAGTTATCAACAAGCTCTGACAACCAATTTTTCTTTACAGTGTAGGTGATTAAGGTAAAACCGTTAACTACCCCTGATTAAACAAATAAACCTAGATGTGCCCATAAGAATATTGCCTAACAGCATTGTAATCTAGAAAAATCTAATTCAAAACAATTACTAACTAGGAGGACCAATTAGATTTGATTGTCTAACCCCGGGAAAGAACTATTCAACCCGGTTATCACCTATTCAAGTGCGAATACAATTACGGATATCCTACCTGAATTGACTTTAGATTATCAGACTAATTTAAATATCGGTACCAAAATATTCAATCAATCAAACAATCACAAACGCTATTATCAGAATTAGACAAATATTGATAATAAAAAGAACTTTTATAAAGAAAATCAAGAATATCCAAAATAAAAGAACCAAAACATTATCATCCCTCAAACCAGAAAAGTATTACTCCATAGTCAAATTACAAAAAAAAAGAATAAAAGAGAAAGATGAAGTCATAATGGGATGCGCACTCTTGCTCATGTGCATTTCTGCCATAACCGTTCTCTCTTGCCAAATAGGCGTGTCTTCCCCTATTTTATTTAATTTTTGCCCTAATTATTTTGTAGATGGGCTTTTGGGTCTTTAATTAATTTCTCATATGAAGTGTAATTAGTCATGACTAACTAGGTTGTGCAAATTTGATATTTGCCTTCTGCACACAGCAAATAAACAATTCGCATATAAATTAGATAGAATCCAATCAAAATCACTCAAATATCGCATATGATATGAATATAAAATGCGATTTCTAAATATCAATATATAAAATATCAAACTATACATTAACATTGTACCAAAAATATTAGGTACAATATCACACCTCACTGAAAATTTTAGTATATTAAAATTTTAAAATTTATGCTATTTTTATAATATGCGTCATATTTCAACAATTCCATATATTTTTACTTTTAATTAAAAATAAATTATTAAAATAATTATAAGTAAAAAATTAGACTTGTTCAAAAAAAAAAAAAAAAACTTCTACTACACTGCACGATTAATATTGTAAAAACCATAATATAACACGAATTTTTATAATATATATTTCACACATACTTTATGCAGTCATAACAAAACAAACAATTCAACACAAATATTGATATTTATACTCCCTTCGTTCCACAACAAAATATTCATTTTTCCATTTTATTCTATCTTATAAAAAAGTATTTATTTTTTTTTAGTAACTGTACTATCTACTTAATATTACAAATACTATTACCACTTATAATATATTACACAAATGCCATTACATTTATATCACACATAATAATAAAGTTATTTTACTAAAACTATGTGAAAAAAAATTGGATATTTAGTTATGAGACGGAAAAAGTATTATTGACACACTTTCAAATACCAAACATAAAAACACCTCAAACAAAACAAACACACCTTAAATAGGTTAATTTGAATTAACTAAATTTGATTTTTATTAAATTTGTTAATTTTATTTTATTTATTTATTTTTTTATAGAAAGTGGTATAATTGAATGTGATAAAAATAAATAAATAAATAAAAATGCTGACACATTTTGGTGGGACAGAGTAAAAAATTATTACATTTTTATAATTTGTTACTATAAAGAAAAAAAAAAACAATAATTACTGCATTATCTATTTTTATTAAAACTAGTATTTTTATAAAATGAACATACAATTGTGCAATGAAAAAAAAATATATATATTGAAAATTATGTAAAAAAAAATTGTTTGTGTTAACACACCCATAGAATTTAATATTTTTTAAGTATTTTTTTTTTGCAAGGTACAAAAAATTGTAAAAATAAATACGCAATGATATTTTATGTGATTTTGTTCATTTCTATTCGCTAGTTCACTTGGAAAGTAGATATTTATTTATTTGTATGAAATTTAATAAATATTATATTGTAATTGTAATTAGTGATAATTTCGGTATTAAAAAAATAATTTATTCTTATGATGGGTAAAATTAATGCTAAAACATTGATACAAGTAATTACAAATATGAAATTATTTATAAATGCATAGTTGAATTTAAATATACTAAAAAAATTGATATTTACTGTTTCAATAATAAAAAAAAATAGTATTAAGTAGACGGAGAAATTATTATTATTATTATTATTATTATTATTATTTAGTTATATATATATATATTTCAATTTTGGCAATATTTCAAATAAAAATAAAACACTATTTAAAATTTTGTGAAGGTCAATATAATAAATATTTAAAAAAAATAAAAAGGGGAGGGGTAAAAAGGAGAAAAAGGCAAAGCAGGCAGGGGAAGAAATCCGCTATCTTTGAACAGCACACTGGAATGTAATTTAGCCCACGGTTTTCCCTCTCTCTCTCTCTCTCTCTCACTCTACTGCTCATCTGTCTCATGAGATACTGCTCTCTCTGCCTGCTCTCATCTTTATTGTACATATATATATATCTATCTATATATATATGCCGATACACATACGTACCATACTATTGCACAGTCAAGATGCAAATCATCGCCATCGCTGTCAATCCACTCACGCTGTAGAAACACCTCTCGAATCTTATTTATCTATTTTGGCTTCGGATTTTGAGGCTCAAAATAGCACGTAACGGCTGGAATTGGAATCCGGGGAAGGAGGTTGACCGATTTGAGACATTCGAATCGAACTTGTTTTGGTTTGGCCCCTGCCTTGTGTTCGATTTTGTTGCCTTTCGCTCAACCGCATCATCACGTGGAGGATTTCTGGATGCAAATGGGGTTTCAACAAAACGGGAGTGGTGGAAAGGGTAACAGCGACTCCAAGAGGAATAAGCGCAAGCAGAAGAGACTATCGCCGATTCAGAAGCTTTATGAAACCTGCAAGGAGGTCTTTGCTGATTGTGGACCTTACATTGTTCCAACCCCCGACAAAGTCGAAAAGCTTGCAGTAGTTTTGGGTATATATACATATACATATACATATACATATACAAATATATATATATATTTGGTATCTCGTTCTGATTTCTATGTGAATTTACTTCTCCTTCCGAAACGTGGTTCATGGAATTCTATTGTTATTATTTTAATTCAGTTGGATCTTAAAATGACTCTCAATGTAGAATAGTTAATTGGCTTTCAGCACTTGTTTAGAGGCAAATGCTGCTTTCCGGTGGAATGTTTGATCCATTGTCATTGTTGGGAAACGTAATGTTTGTTCAATTATTCTCATTAGTGATTCTATCTTCTTGGTTCATTTCATATTCTGTTTTCTATTTCCTTCTTGACAATGATGGAAGCCTTTTTGAAGACATTTTGCCTTTCTTGTGCTGTGATTGTGACTTTTCTCATTGTGGCTATGCAAAATTTAGCCCCTTTTTTTTTTTTCAAAATTTCACAATTTCGAAGCAAGATGGCAGTTTAGGAACATTTTTATGAAACCAACTTGAAATATATTTGTTCACAAATACTAGATAGATTTTATGCAGATTTGGAGATATGTAATATGTTAGCTTATGTTTCTTCTATGTTGAAATAGTTTGTTGAATGAAAATCTATGCAGATGGGATGACACACGGAGATGTTGGGCTGCGGCCAAATATGCCAATTTTCAGCTCTGAAAGAGCTCCTATCATAACATATCTCCACATCTATGAATGTGACAAGTTCTCAGTGAGTAATCTGCATTTTTGCACAGATGATTGGGCAAATTAGCCTGTCCAATGGATGTTTCCATTTCTGACACATATTTGTTTGGATGATATTTCTTTTTTCAATCATAACAGATTGGAATCTTTTGCTTGCCTCCAACAAGTGTCATTCCACTTCACAACCATCCTGGAATGACAGTTTTTGGCAAACTTCTCTTTGGAACTATGCATATCAAGGCGTATGACTGGTCAAATGAGGTGCCGAGGAATAAGGATTTAGTGCCAGCATATCCTGTGGATGCAAAAAGTATGTTCTTGTCCGGATTAGTACCTTTACGTTCTCTGTTTCTGTTAAACACATTTTGGTTATTAGATTCATGCATGCAATTCATCAATCCTTCAGGTTGTTGGATAACTGATTTAACAACTTGAATTTTTTTATCACGTGGGTCCAAATTTGATGTTTCCACATGATTATAAACTCTTCATATAATATTAAAAAAGTAACCTTAGAACCAGAAGCTCCTAGTTGGATTAGTCTCCGTTTTTCTTATGTATATCTTCGACAGGTTTTCTAACTACCTATTGTTCATCCAGTGAGAGACATTTTATTATATTAATACCCCATTTTCCCTTATAGTTAATATTTTGGTTATGTTATGACTTTAAATTATGCATTAGAATAAATTTACCAAATTAAAGACATGAGCAAAGATGTAAATCTATGAGGCAGTAACAGTGACACCCCCCCCCCCCCAACATATATCCTATGCTTATAATACAGAATTTATTGAACATGAAAACCTCTATCCTCCCAAGCTATACCCTCCATCCTATCGGAACCTACGAATGGCAACCTGGCATAATTAACCTCCTCCTTGCTTGAGCGAAAAGTCTTCTGCCCATTAATTATGTAATGTGGACCTCTCTTCATAATTTTTTGTTTTAGTTTCTGGTGCAGTTCGTCCTGATGGAATGCAATTGGCTAAGCTTAAGGTCAATTCAGAATTTACTGCTCCTTGCCGAACTTCCATTCTCTACCCTGCTGATGGTGGAAACATGCATTGCTTCACTGCCAAGACTGCTTGCGCTGTGCTAGATGTGCTCGGGCCTCCATATTGCGATCCAGATGGTCGCCATTGTCAGTACTACTATGAGTATCCGTTCTCCGAATTTCCAGGTAAGCCATTACTCAACAAGAACATTGCAGTCTTTATTATTTTAATGGAACACTTTGTATTCTTCCACTTGATTAGAACCACTGAACATTCAGAGCTCAAAACACATCGAAAAAGCTCTTTTCTATTAATTGTTTGGTGCTGATGACTGTCTGAAATTATTTACAGCTGACATTGTTGGCGCAACCGAGGAAGAGAAAGAGAGCTATGCGTGGCTTATGGAGAGGGATAAACCGGAGGAGTTATCTGTAGTTGGATTGTCCTACGATGGTCCGAAAATTGCTAAAAAATAATTCTTGAACAAAGGAAGCAGCAAAGTTGTTTCCATCTGCAGTTACATTGTAGAATAGGAACTCTTGTTTCTGTTGCTCTGTTCTCCATCTTTATATGTACATAAGTATCCAGTAAAAATTTATATATATATATATCAAAGAAAAGATGACTGAACCATTTAAACTTTTATATACATCCCTACAGGGTAATTAATTTCTACAGAAAAATTTTGAGCCCATGTCATAAATCTTGAGTTCTTGATTGATTTTTTGGTTGATGGAAAGTTCACATCTTCACCTGAATTTATTGTTATTAATAAGCATACAATAGTTAAATCTTTTTATTTGTTGATTTTGAATTTGTCATATGTATTTGTAGGTCAAAAGATTAGGGAATCTCAGAATATTTTAGGGATAAAATAAAAAAATAAGAAATTGTGGGTGTTAATTAATTGTGCCTAACAACTGGAAATGTATGATTGTATCAAAGTTAAAACTCTTGTTTAGTCAATGGATCGACTAAGACTTTCCAATATAAAATTCCTCGCAATGAAGTGTATTTCAAGTGAAATATTCAAACAATTACATTTTAAAATAGAGAATTGTCAAGCTGTGTCCTCATCACATATGACATATGTTGCATACAAGTATAATAATTAAATTAGATGTGAAAATCCCATCTAATATTTCAAAATCTCACATCACAAATAATTATTCCTAAATTCCTAATCCCAGATATTTTATTTGACTCCAACTAATAAATTATTCCCAAGTTGGCTACAAAGTCTCCATGTGGTTAAAGATTGCACATATTTTTTCTTTCATATTATACTATCATTTATTTAAAAACCAGAATTAAATCACTGTACCTTCCACAAAAATAATAATAAATAAAATAAATGGATCAAATCCCTTAGAAGGCTGGCACGTACAGATAACTACATGTAGTTATTTAATTTCTTGGTTGAAAATATTCATCAGATTGATTAATTATTCAATAAATGAGGCCATCATCGAGTCTTAGGTTTCTGCAGCATTTTGTAATGGTGTCAGTCTTTGTAGTTGTTAGCCAAACTTATTAGTTAATTCTGATTTAATTAGACTCAGTAGAACTGTGTAAATATAGGCTATTTATTATTAATTTAATAAATTTCTTTTTTTATTATATATATTTTTTATTTTATTTTTTAAAAAAATGACATGTAAAGATTGAGAAATAGCGTGAGATCCGTGGTGTGCTACGAAAGTCCAATATTAACTTCTGTCACCACTGATCTCCCCTCCATAATTTAATGCAAAAATTCAACTCCATGTGCAGTAAAAAAATGAACTCTTATGAGCTAATCAGGCACAGGCAGTTGACATTTCCAAGTCTTTCAATTTGTCTGCGTTCACAACGATTAATGTCGATTCAGACACACATATATAATACTAGTAAATAATTTAATCACAAAAGCCAAACGAGGATTGGAAATTAAGAGAGAAGTACATATATATATAAATCTGCACGGTATATAACAAGCCCACATCTCAAAGCTCCGATCGAGCAGCAAAAATGGAAGATTTGATGATCAAGGTACGTATAATACCTCTTTAATTCTTAATTATATTGATTTCTGAAATTTTGACGTTGTATTGAAATGGATTAACGTTGTTGCAGAAAGATAAATTGGAGTCAACGAAATCGGAGATGGAGGGGATAAGGGAAGAGAATCTGAGGCTGAAGACTTTACTGATGCAAATCGAAAACGATTACAAGGCTCTTCAAAGGAAATTCGACGATACTTTCGGACAGTCTCCCGGATCCGGATCCGGCAGCCATAGCCAGATCACGTGCAGTCTAGAAAACCCTGGAAATGATCAAGAACAAGAACTAGTGTCTCTTCGCCTTGGGTCGTCGTCCTCGTCTGCACCAAATCCAGACAACAAATACAATAAGCTTGACCTAGGCCTGGGCCTGGATGATCGTAAGCAAGAAGTAGATGATCAGACAAGAATACAGAAGACACGTCACAGAAATGGAGATGAAGAGTTTTATCAAACAGGCGTGAAGAAAGCTAGGGTTTGTGTAAGAGCAAGATGCGACACCCCAACAGTGAGTATCAATTAATTAATTAAAGATAATTGTTCGAGGATTAATTGTTTGGATCGATCGATTAATTGATCAGATGAACGATGGCTGCCAATGGAGAAAATATGGGCAAAAAATTTCAAAGGGGAATCCATGCCCACGAGCATACTATCGTTGTACGGCGTCGCCGTCGTGCCCTGTCAGAAAACAGGTAATTAAGTTAATTATTTCAATTAGGCTACATTGCTTTAATAATTAATTAACATTTTCGATTTGTCTGATGATTAGGTGCAGCGATGCGTGGACGATATGTCGATACTGATCACGACCTACGAGGGTACCCACAACCACCCGCTTCCGCCGGCGGCGGCGGCGATGGCTTCCACGACATCGTCGGCGGCGTCCATGCTAATGTCGGGGTCCTCAATTTCTCCGACGACGACTTTAATTAATAATCCCTGGAACAAATTCCAGGCATGGCCGCCTAACTGCCACGTGTCGAGCTATCCATCATCGTCTTCGTTTCCCACTGTAACTGTGGATCTCACCGCCAATAATGTTTCTTCATCCCCAAACAGCCTTTATTATTACTCGTCTCCTCCGGGAAGAAGTTTGAGCTTTTCTTCAATGGGAACAACAGGAGGGTTTTCTCATCGCCATTGGAGCTTGCCTGGAGGAGAATCAGGCCTACAGGCCTCCCAGAATAGCAATAATAATAATAATGTCCTGACAGAAACGTTGACTGAGGTTCTTACATCTGATCCGAGCTTTAGATCTGTAATAGCTGCTGCACTTACGTCGATGGTGGGTAATGGTAATGGTAATGGAGGCTCTGCAGAAGGGAAAGCAAAGACTGAGAATAATCTTGAACGTATACCCGCCATTGGTGACTTACGAGCTTTGAAAGAATGATCCAGAGGATAAGTATGGTGGTTTAATTTAATTTTCCATATAATGCCTGTACAAAATTCAGTTCTTGATGATCACATTTCTCTTCTTTATCTCTCTCTCTCTCTCTCTCTATATATATATATATATATGTATATATGTAACATGTCAAATATTTGTTCCAGGGTTTGATATATAATATATATATAGCTCTGGAATCAATATTTGGCTTGTAAGATGAAATAAAAATAAGTTGCAGGATGTTTATGGTTGAATCTTTCATGGTAGTAGTGTCTCTAAATTAGGGTTGTTGTTATCTTGCCAAATGTAGACATTCAACATTATGCTGATATTACACTAATATATGTTGTCCTAAGCTAACTAATACTCGTTTTTGTTCTTTAACTATGTATTCCTTTATTTTTTATACGAAATTTTAGAAATTTTAGTATTATATTAGAGTGTGGTATGAATAAAGTAGAAAATACTAAAATAACTTATTAGTATTGTATGATATAAAACTAATGACATTTGTGTAATATATTATAAGTTGTAAGGATATTTTTAATGTTAGTAGAAAGTAAAATTTCTAAAGAAAGAAAATGAATAGTTGTTAAGAAATATATCAAAATAAAAAAATGGATAAATCGTTAAGGAACGAAGAGAGTATAATATTAATACAACAAATGAACCAATAACAAGTAATAATAATTCATACTATACATACTCTCTCCGTTTCATCGAAATGTTACCATTTTTCATTTTCGTCCGTCCCAAAATAAGGTTACCATTTCCTAATTTAGTAATTGTACTATCTATTTAACATAATAAATACCATTTCAACTTACAATATATTACATAAATTTCATTACTTTTATATTACACCGTACTAATAAGGAGCTGATTGGTTCATGACTTTTTTTGTGGGATTGAGATTTCACAGTAGGATTTATATGTGATGGATTTATTATATTTAGGATTTGGAATCTTATCATATGTTTGGTTGGTAAAATTATGTGGGATTTATATTTCTCACGTTTTGTTTGTTTTTTATATGAGTAGAATGATTTGGATTTTTTATATTCTAAATGACATAATTGTCCCCCTATGAATTTTATTTATTTTGATAAATTAAACATCTAATTTATAATAAATATAAATTGAAAATGTATTAATAATTTTATAGGGATTACAATAGGTTATCGTAAACTTGAAACCCGACTCGAACCCGACCTATTTATTTGAAGTTGAGTCTAATTATTTGAGTATTAGATCTTGATCCGGGTCATATTATGGGTATTCTAATCGGGTCTAGGGTCTAAGCGGACCATACCCGCACCCAGATTCGATTTATAATATTAATAATATATCGACTATATATGAAAAAATAATTTCTAACAATATAATTATATTAAATTTTTTTTTAAGTTTAATTTATTTATTATTTTATTATAATATTTTTCATAAAATACATAAATAATATATATTGGGTCGTTACATGTGTAATTTTAAATTAAAATTTAAGAATCGTAAAAAGAATTGGATTTGTTAGATCCATCGGATTTTACCGGGTAGAGTTTTGGCCGGATCTGGTATAATCAGATCCAATTTGGATCTAAAGTCTAACAATATATATATTCGGGACGGATCTCAGTTCCGGCTGAATCCGACTTATTGTCATTCTGATAATTTTATAATTTAAATAAAATTTATAATAAATAACAATTTAAAACAATGAAATTAATTTATTTAAAAAATATTTTACCATAAAAAAAATAATAGTATTAATTTAATTTAATATATAATTCAAATAAAAATTAATTTTAAAATTATTTAATTTAATTTTATATAAATATATTTATAATATATAATTTTATTTATTTTTATTTAAGGATATAAAATTAAAATTTAAAATCCCATGGAATGGGATTTAAAAGTAATAGGGGTTACCCCATTACTAATAAATCCCTCATTTTTAGGATTTTGGACCATGTTTTTAAATCCATCATTTTAAATTCCATTATTTTTTTAACCAAACATGGATTTCATGAGATTTTAAAATCCAAATCCCATGAAATCCTATCAAATCCTTGAAACAAACAGTCCCTAAGGGTATTTTTGTTTTTTTTTTTTACTATAATCCAATATAATACTAATATTAAAAAATTTACGTGAAAAAAACAAACGTCACCCTTCAAATGGGACGGAGGGAATATTACTACTAATTTAAGAAGAATATGAGATATGTGTCGACCGGAGAAACTACTTTCATTTATAATTAATTTACAAGCCTTATGTAACAAATTCATAAAGGTGCCGACAAAGTTTGAAGCAATGACAAGTCAAGATCTATGACTATTGTACCATACCAATTTGGCAATTTAACCATGAGAAACTCTTCAATCCAATCCTTTTAATTCTTTTTACTACTCAAAGTTGCATAATTAATTAAGATTGCTCTAGTTTACAAGTTATTAAATTCGGCTGAAATTTTATACAGGACTTCGGATTCCACCTTATATAAAAGAAATTAAGATTGCTTTTAGAGGAATCTTAATAAACTATTGTAATAATTGTCTTTTCCTTCAAATGCAACTGCAAAATTTGTCCATTATTTTTTTTCTTTTGGTCAGAGTGACATTTAGATAAGATAATAATAAGAACTTGCCAATACTGCAAATTAAAGTTCACTTAAATCTCCGCCATATATTAATTAATCTACTTTTCTCTTTTCTTTTTTTTCTCAAATGAGATTTTTATCCAATATCAATTTAATCCATGAGCTGTCGGTGGTTTTAAACATGAATTTATTATTGTAATAACTTATAATACTCTTTGGTATTATTATTATTATTTTTTTTTTACTGATTTTTTGATCTTCTTGTCTAGTGAGATAAGATTGTTGACCTCCACGTACAGCTAACATATATATATATATGTATGTATGATTTTTCTTATTTCACTTTAAATTGTTACACTTCAATTATTTTCATCTGGGCTTTATAATATGTATTAAGTGGGTTTGGTAGAACTAATCAAACAAACAAGCCTTGTCCAGAAAACATAGGTCCCTGAACTGCAGGCGCTCAGTCCGGGACCAGGAGTCCCGGTACGGTCCAAACGAGGTAAAAACCACCGGAACCCCAAATCCAGGGTGCTTATGAGAAAAGTTATAATCCTCGAGGGATTAATTTTTAATTAATTACACTACCTTGTCGGTTTTTGCAATTTTATTGAATAATTTAAACCAGCCCGTATAAATAATTAAATTAAAAAATATCTTTACCAGTGGTCCCAATGGTTTAGTTGGAAATTGATTTTGAGTGTGTGACTATAAATCTATAAAAATAAAAAATAAAAAATAATAAATAAAAAAACAAGAAGGCATCTGTGGTCCTGTATCCATTAATGATACTACTAAATTTATTACATGGACTGCCATGTCAATTTATTTATTTATTTTTAAAAAAATCATCTTTTTAATCTAATCATTTCTCTAACCATGATTAAGAAAGTAAAGAAACCCTGTTAATAATTCTCCAGTGATTGTATTTATTTATTTTTTTTTCAGAAATGAGTTTGGATTCTTTCCCATATGAATTTTACCAATTTCTTCCCAAGAATCGCCCTTTTTACCGGAAGTGACTGTAGTAATAACCAGTGACTACCACCCACTCTCACCCAACCCCAGCCTGTATAGGTATAGATACACCCAGCTGTATCTATCACCGTCTCTGCATATCTGTGCTTCCAAGAGAGAGAAACCACAAGCAGAGGACAGAGGAAGTGACTGTGCTGAGGAGGGGGGGGCCATTTTGTGCTGCCATTGAACTAATCCATCATTAGGTATGGGGGTCTGTCTGTGTGTGCTTTAATTTTCTGGGTAAATCATGATTCTTCTTCTATCCTCCATCTCTATCAACAATTTCACTTCAAAATTGAAATCTCCATCATTTATAACCTGGACACCTCTTTTCCTTTTTCTTAAATTCTCATTTCAATTTCAGTTTCAATTTTCTAGGGTTTGCAATAAATTTTGGTTTGAAAACGCAGCAGCCTGCAATCCTCTATCTCCTCCTTTTCCTTTCCAGGTATAGAGTGGTAGATCTGAATCACATTGCAGAGATTATTTTTTCTTAGGTTTTGGATCGGATTGCAGATCTTGCTGAAATTTCTGGATGCTTTTTTATTAAATATTTTTTTCCCCTTTTCAAACCTTCTGTAAGATTTGGTTCCTGCTTAGATTTCTCTGGATCACATTTTCTGTTCCTGTTCTTAAATCATAGCTGTGCTTGTGATTTCAATTTTCTGGATCATTATCGTTCTCTGCTATTTCTTGATTACACATTCTGTTCTTCGAATTTTGTTTGCAGAGCTTCAATTGAGTTTCTACAGTGTGTAGAGGTGGACGACAATGGGGAAGTCGCCTGGGAAATGGATCAAGACCATACTCTTCGGAAAGAAGCATTCCAAATCCAGTTTATCCAAAGTAAGAAATCTCAGATTACATTTGCTGAATGAATTTAGAATCATTTGAGAATTCAAGATTACCCTTAATTAGTTGTTCTTCTGCTGTTTGATTTGGGGATCTTTTAGTTTAGTTGCATTTTTGCAAGTTAAGGTTGTGTAACAATCTTACCATTGTTGCATTTGTCGAAAAGAGTGCTTCAAAAACTCCGGCGGCGGCGCCGGATCAATCTGGAAACGCTCCGGTGATATCAGATCCCGAAAGGGGCGTCGAAAATTTGGAAATCGAGAAGGGATCATCAGCCCTGATAAGTGATGCTACTGCTTTATCGTTATCTTTATCTCCCGGCGATCAAACTGTCGTTTCGCCGAGCAATAATATGTCTGCTCCGGTCAGCGACGCCGAGGCGAGGAGGCAAGAACAAGCTGCCACGGTGGCGCAAGCAGCTTTCCGGGGATACTTGGTACCACATTCCATTACACTGTAAATTGCACTCGTCTCGAATTCGAATGTTATTGTAATGACGATGCTCTAAAACATGAACGACAGGCACGCCGCGCATTCCGGGCGCTCAAGGGTATCATAAGGCTGCAGGCTCTTATTCGGGGGCATCTCGTTCGACGACAGGCGGCCTCCACTTTGCGGTGTATGCAGGCGATCGTGAAGCTTCAGGCGTTGGCCCGCGGACAAAAGGTTAAGATCTAAAATATTTATCGTAAAATGCTGCATAAAGATTTAATCTTGCTGAGATTTTGCTGAACAGGTGAATGTTGGGGTGTACTCATTTTCCCGATCGCGTAAGCCGGAAAAAAACATCTTTGTCCGAAAGGTTTGGATCATTGCCGGATTCTTCAGCTCATTGTATCGAAACATTTTCATAATTTTTGACGTACGTCGCTTGTTGTTTAGTTTCTTGTGAATATGCCGATCGCTACGCCCCTCAGCCTTCAGTATGATCCAACCGAACCAAATTCAGCTTGGAACTGGCTCGAGCGATGGTCGGGATCTCACTTTTGGGAGCCACCGACGTCGTTGAAACGAACAAAGGCAAAGGGTAACAGGAAGCAGAGCAACGCCGAGGCCGCCACCGAAACTGTAGCCGGAAAATCGAGAAGGACTTTCCGGAAAGTTCCACCTGCGACGAACGTGGAAAACGGCGCGACCGAAACGGAAAAGCCCAAAAGTACACCGAGGAAAGCTCCTGCAAGTAGTCAACCGGAGTCCGTACAAGAGCAGCCGCAGAACGAACTCGAGAGGGTTAAACGTAACTTGAGAAAGATCACGGCTTCGGCGAACGAGTCTGCCGAGAAAACAGAGACGGAATCCGAGAAGCAGCCACTGGTTTTGAGTGTGGAAATCGCAACTACTGACGTACCCGGACAGGTCACGGCGATTGCTTCTGAAACTGTGGCTGATTCGGATGTCGTAGCCGATGAAGGAGATCTGGTCGAAGCTCCTTCAAATACGACGGTGGATGAACCGGTTGATGCAACTAGCGATAATCATACGACTACGGGTACTCATTCCATCGAGAATGGTGTGAAATTGGATGGTCCTCCTATCGTGTACGACGAGTCGATCTGCAAAGAAGAGAAGAGCGGAAAAGAGATTGGAAAAGTTCGAAAGAGGAGGTCGCTTATGACGAAACAAGAATGCCCGGAAAATATCTCGCAAAACTCCCCAAGCCTGCCGAGCTACATGGCAGCGACTGAGTCCGCCAAGGCGAAGCTGCGCGCCTTAGGATCGCCTAAGCTCGCTGAAGATGGAGCTGAATTCGGATTTACACGTCGCCATTCTCTGCCGGCCTCGACCAATGGGAAATTGAGCTCGTCGTCGCCAAGAGTACAGAAACACCTCCAAGCTAATGGAAAGGGAGGTAGCAAAACTAATAAGTCTTTGATGTCCTCTCGAGACGGTGAGCGCAATTCATTTGTTTTTCGAAATAAAGATATATAGTTTTATCTTTTTTAACGGTTTTCTCGTATCTTCGTTGCATTTTCAGACAAGGCTGCTCAGCCGGGATGGAAGCGGTAAAGAATCTTACAGTCTATGGAAGCGGACACAATGATAAGTCACCGTTACATTTGCTCGCGTGTTTTTTCGTCATGTCATGTGTGTATAGTCATAGTTAAAGACTCCCCCGACTAATTTAAATCTTCGCGCTCGTTTGCTGTGCTCTATAATTTCATTTGATGTTTACTCTTTACTGTTACGGAGGCATTGCGAACCGGCTATGTTTCTTCATGTATCTTACCGGTTTTTCGTCGAAACTTATTGATTTATTTCGAATGGAAGAGTGTTTTTTTTATTACATTCCCAGATTGCTGTTGTAATCTCATCCAGGTTTTGATCAGACACAGAAGGAAAACTTCGAAGTTCTGGCAGTGAACAACGGATTCGAAGCTCCTAAGCTCACGCCGTAGCCACTTCCGACGTAGACACAACCTTTGCTCACAGAGAAGCCACCATAAACAGACGCCCCCGTCTCGTACGACCAAAGTATTTCCTCGTTCTCGGCGTCGATCGCGTATACAGGCCCCGTTCGATACGTCGAGCCAGCGAAGAGAACACCGTTGGCCACCATTACAGGATTCGACGTAGCGCTGTGTGGAACCGCCGTCGACCATATTATCCTCCCCGTCGTTGCGTCCATTGCCACCCAGCCTCCTCCTCTTGTGACGTTGCCCGATGGCGACAATGTGAAGTTCAGATCGTTCCCATTGACGATGTTTGTGTAAACCCTTCTCTTGTCCGTTGCTGCTCCCCAAATTCCTCCTCCACTGAAACTTCAGGGCCCTGCTTCCTGCAATTTTAAAACTTGACAATGGCGATTGAAGCTTGAAGAGATACGTATCATTAATTATTCGATGAAGAAATTGGGTAACCGTGAACCAAACGATGTCGCCGTTGTCCCGGTCCAGCGTCCAGACGAATCCACTTTTCTGAACAGCAGCGACGACGTCGTGCTCGACTCCATTTACATGCCTGCTAAAAATCATCGGCACCTCGCCAAACTCAGCGTACGGAGTTGGGCGGGAGGGGCACGCCGGGGGGGAGTTTGTGCAGGCGTGGAGCCAGACGTTGTACCCTCCGAGCTGCCGGTACCACCTGATTTCGCCAGAGGCGATGTCGAGGGCGAGAATGGAGTTGGTGTGGTCGTCGGGGTCGGTGCAGTTGTCGGGATGGGACGGAAACGTCTGATTGTTCTGCGCATTCTGGCAGTCTTGGACGGGTTGCGGTGCGGAGTCGAGTATCCCTGTCGCGATGTATATATGATTCCGGCATGTGTCGATGGACGGGCTGCGTCCCAAGACAGCTCCTCCGGCGTATCCTCCCTGTTGCCCGTCGTTCTCCGGGACCATGAATGTCTGCCAGGTAATCGCCCCTGTCTTGGCATCTAATCGGACGAAGCTTCCTCGGAATGTGCAGCAGTTTTCGATGCGGAAGCTCTTCTGGAACAACGATGTCCCGACAAAGAATCCCCTGCAAGAAAAGGCCTCGTAGTCAGTTGCAACGGATTAAGATTAACAGAAACGTAAAAAAAACACAGTGATTCGCCAACAATGTGTTGGTGACGTGTCCACGGACAGAAGCTGAAGAAACGAAGAACAGATTTATTGAGGACGGCCTAAATTGCATATTTCTAAGTCTATTCAAATAAATTAAAAGAATATAAACACACTCAGCCTAATATGAATTCCAAAGTCCAATTATCTGTCCCGTTGGACCAGGGGCCACTTCGTGCCCCTGGACCCAGGCAAGGGGCCCCCTTGACCCCGGTAAAATATCAAAGAAGTAACAAATTAGATTTAAGGCATATCGCGATAGTCAATACGGTACTAATCAGCACATAAAAGATAGACGGACAATGTTCTTGCAACCTGGAAATCTTACATACCCTTTGTAATAAGTTCCTGACATTGTAATGGCAGCCGCGGGGTGCTTGTCAAGTTGCTGCATCCAAAGAAGCTCCCCTGTCTCGAGTTTCAAAGCGACGACGTACGCTGGTCCGTATACAGTGACGATCAGTTTGTCGCCAGCCACCGTCGGGGTAGCTCTGGACATGGTCGCTGTGACATTTGGGATAGGGACAGTCAGGTTAAGCCCTGTCAACTCCTGAAGGCTCTGTTTCCAGACAAGGGATCCGTTCGACGCTCTTACAGCGTATATGTGTCCGTTCCAGCTTGGAAAATACACGACGCCAGCTCAAATTCCCACTCGAGATGCAGACTTGGAGATGTCAAAGGACTAATCTTGGATTCGCCTTCGGCATATCTGTGATTGTAGATGTCGCCGCCGTGGTTCAGCCATGCCCCCGGAAGTCTCTTCTCCGGCCAGCCCTGGAACAGACAAAAATATTTATTAAACAAGGTTCGAACATGCTTTAAGGGTGTGTCTGAAAATGGCTTACAGGATGACTTGATCTTGCGATTGTGACAAAACTGAATGTCAGGATCATGAAGAGGAAATAATTCTCCATGGAAGCAGAAACTTGCAGAGATTAGGGAATGGAGTTCGATGGTTATATATAACAACTGAACTTTTGAGAATTGGTTGACATTTTGTGGCGTTGACATTGTGGTTCTTGGATCTTGAACATTAATTTTTCCGAAAAATGATAAACTGTATTCAATCCCATAGATAAGAGGACATACTCAAACTTAGAAGTCGAGAATCGTCAACGTTGTACAAATTCAACTCAATGTAACCAAAAGTTACACAGGACAAAAATTATTCAAACAAGAATATGGAAGAAGAGGAACTGAGATAGACAAACAAACAACCTTTCAGTTCGGCTATGGTTTGCTCGGCGCCGGCGACCAAAACGGCTGAATATTGTGATACGGCGAGCCCTGATATCGGTTCGGCATGGACGGGCTCCGGCCATGCTGCAATCTGCCGCCATTTCGGGCACGGGCAGCATTCATGGCCTGGAAGTACGAGGAAGACGACGCCATGTCCTTGAGCTTCGACAGCGGCTCTAGCGCGGCGACGACTTCGCTCATGGCCGGCCGGATTTTGGCATCGCGGGCGAGGCAACGAGCCGCCAGATGAACAGCCTGTTGCGCGCCTTTAATTGAAAAGTGTCCCTCAAGTCGGGGATCAATCAGTCTGTAGAACCGTCGCCTCTCGCTCACATACGGTCTCGCCCATTCGACCAAGTTCTGCTCGCTGATAGGCCGGGTCTTGTCCATCGATCTTCGTCCCGTTAGCAGCTCGAGCAGAACGACTCCGAAACTGTAGACGTCGCTCTTCGCCGTCAAATGCCCTGGCGCGCATGTAGCGTTGGTAATAAAGAATCAATCGATTCAAAAGTAGTCGAATGTAGGACAGCGGGCGTTCGAAGGATTCGTACCTGTCATTACATATTCCGGCGCGGCATATCCGTATGTCCCCATAACGCGCGTCGACACGTGTGTCTTGTCTCCCTGGGGGCCATCCTTGGCGAGCCCAAAATCAGATAGTTTCGCGTTGTAATTCTAGGCGACGATGACATGTAAGAAACTTTTCCGAGAACTAAGATACAAGGACATAATACAATACCGTTTTCTCGGATTCTTACCACATCTAATAGGATGTTTGATGATTTAAAATCTCGGTATATAACCGGCCGTTCTGCTTCTTCATGGAGAAACGCGAGCCCCTTTGCCGCGCTCATCGCAATTTTCATTCTTATCGACCACGGAAGAGGCAGAGATCCTAACACAGAAAAGATTTATTCAAAATCGAAAACCGTCGAGACAACTTCAAGAATTGATCGACTTACTCTTGAACAAGTGATTCTCCAAGCTGCCGCGAGGCATGAATTCGTAGACGAGCAGACGCTGATCATCCTCGATGCAATAGCCGATCAGTTTAACGAGATGGGGATGGATGAGAGCACCGAGATAATTCACTTCAGCCTGCAATAAGATCGACAGATAATTAATTATACATCGAGAACAAGAAAGCGAATCGTTTAAACAGAAAAGATCGATAGCATACGAGCCACTCTTTGTGTCCCTGAAGACTGTTGTGATTGAGAGTTTTGACGGCAACGGGAATTCCCATCCCGGCTTTCACCGGAGTGCTACCGCGCTCGTTGACCCAACCTTTGAAAACACAGCCGAACCCGCCCTCTCCGAGTAGGTTATCCGGCTTAAAATTCCTCGTCGCCATTTTCAGCTCGTTGTACGTGAACTTTCGTAGCTGGGAAGCTATTTTCAATTCCTCGCCTATTTCAAGTGTTGCCGGAATGCTGTCTGAATTCTTTGACGCTGAAGATGATGTCGCCAGAGCAATTGGATGATCCCGGCTAGTTTCAGTTGTAGATTTACTTTCAGCTGTTGGTGATATAAACAGATTGCCTTGCAAAGAGTCATTCAAAAAGTTCTTCAGTTTCCGCAAAAAACATCGAATTATTACACAGGGATACGAGGTAAAGCGCAAAGTATGCAACATTGTATTCGCCCGCAATGTAATAATCGAAACATTACATATATATATATATATATAACGATTAGGATCACGATCACAATGTTCGATTTGGACAATCAAAACTTAAAAACTTTCTTTCCATTCACGATAAATGCATCCAAGGCGAAGCTTAGGCCAATGAACATACAGAATCATGTTATCGAAATTTCGGAAATGGAAGATCCGACAAAGTTGCTAGATGCTTCTTAAGATCATGTATGAATTCCCTTTGAAAATCTATCGAACAGACAATATTCGATTCACAAATTCTAGCACATTGTCCTAATTGAGCAAATAACAGGAAAGGGCTGATCACGAATTCAACTTTAACATATCCTTAAATTAACACCAAAAGCAGCAGAAATCATTCAACAATATATATATATATATGAACAGGTTTGTGTATGTATGGAATTTACCAGAACCAGATTGTGAGCTGCAACCACTAACAGAGCTATCGACTTTTGCCCTTGTGGACAAGCAACCACCAAAAAATCTGAACCTAATCCAACACCTACTCTCATCTTCTACATCATCGTCGTCGTCATCATTCAGGATTCTTCTTCTCACCCTTGATTTTGAACTGCAATTGTCAATCGAACCGCCATTGATGGCCTCAGGACCCAGCCCCATTTCACCCAAACCCTAGAATTCAAATTACCTAAACAAATGCTTCAACTCTCATCCACAGATTCTTCTCTTTATTCTCGTTGAAAATCAAGAAATTCGATAAATGAAGAGTTATTGCTGCCTTGATCAAAATCGAAATCGAGAAAACAAAATCAACACAGGCGCAGACTGTAAAGTTCAATCAAAATGCAGAACAATGATTTTTTGCTACAAGAATTTTTGGTTCACAGATTCAATCAACTAAGAAAAACGAGAAAACAACAACAGAGCAAACTAAAGCTCAAACCCATTGTCGAAAGCTCGATAAACATGAGGATGTTTTTATAAAAAGGGACGAGGGACATGAGATGTTCTCGAGGTCGAACAAAAGTGATTGTAGAGAGAGAGAAGGGTGTATGTATGAGTATGAGAGTGTGTGTAAATTCATTAAAGGAGGCTAGGGAGGAGAGAGAAATTGTGCATTTTTTGCGTGAAAAGAAGAGAGGGAATGGACGTGGAGGGAAAACCAAAACTGGTTATTTATCAGCAGCAGCAGCAGCAGCAGCAAGGAATGGATTGATTTGATTATTGGCAAAGATTAGATTTTACAAGAAGGAAGGGGACGAAGAAGAGGAGGTGGGATCCAGTTGTAATAAAAGATTTGTCAGTAGAGAATTTGCATTTGATGTGCTTTTTCTCCTTTCTTTTCTTTTTCTCGGAATCCGCCATTGGAGTAACATTTTGCTTTTTGAAGGTTCAGCTGCTGCTTTCTTGCTGGATTTATGGGAGTTTGGGACCTTCATTTTAAATCCCTATTTCAGACTAATTCAATACCGCCCATTGCTAATCAATTTTCAAATTTTAAAATACTACTCTACTACATATATGTTTTCCAATTGGAGACTCTGGCTATTAAGTATAAAAATTATTAGATAATGATGAAAATGAAGGTTTAAAATAGTATTTTAATATAGAAAATAAAGGATCTGTTTTTAATTTCTTTTTATAAATATTAATCCTCCCTCCTATATAAGATAAACGCATTACTGTAGATACAAAATAAAGTATAATTAATATGTAATTAAGAAGTGTATTAGTAAAAATAATTATAGATTAAGATTAATATAAATAAATAGTTTAATTAAGATTAAAAAAAACTTAAATTTTAAATTTTAAAATATGATTAAAGTGTATAATCAATTTTTTTTTTTTAAAAAAAATAAATTATGAGACTGACAAAAATAGAAAATATGAACAAATTATGTGAGACAATATTAATCCTCCATCCATTATAATACCCAAATTTCAAAAGAATAAATAAAAATTAAAAAAAATATATTTTATTAAAAAAAATAAAAAAAAAAGTGGTTAACTGTATTTTTAAAATTTTAATTACAAATTAAAGTGAATGAAGATAAAATATAATAAAAAGATAAAAGTAGTGGTATTTGCGTAAATAAATAAATATGTTGACTTTGTCAAAATCATAATGAGATAAATAAATATATTTAAATACGTTTAAAACTCTTTATTTATTTGTAAATTAATTTATGTTAATCATAAATAAATATTTATATATATTATATAAAATTTTATTTTTTACTAAAATATATTCATACTTTATATATTTTATTAAAATAATTAAATATATATTTTAAAAAAATTTAAGTTTATATATATTACACTATAAATAAAATATTAATTAAATAAATTATTCATAATCTAATTTTTAATTCAGTAATTTAACCGGTAACCAATCACACCGAGAGTTATGCTAAAGTATTTTGGCTAAGCCATGAAGAAATATATTTAACTAATGACATGTACATGAAGTAATGTTAAACTGTGTACAACGCACTTGGTAAAGAGCTATGTTTATAGTTTGATGTTATGTTATAGTTCCTTCGTATTTAGTTCGATTGAATATTTTTAAATCAAAAAATCTTGTGGAACCATGGCTTCATCAAATATGGATGAGTGAGGGTTATTTAAACAAAAATATAGCAAAATAAGAAAATATTTGTAATTTCACGTGTACAGTTGTCAATTTTTTAAAATTGTCTTCACGCATATAATCTATTTATAACTTCAAATAATAATATCTTTACCGTTTGATAAAATGATGTATTACTTGAATTTTTATATAAAAACTATAGCAATATCTAATTTATGGTACTTTGTTGATCTTTTTTCCCCTTGGTTAATCCAAAGTCTGTTTGTGGAGATTATTGATGTTTTTAGTTTTTTTAAGCAATGTTCTAGTTAAAAAATTAACTTAGTATGAACGACTTGCGAGGATACGCTCAATTGTGGCAAGTAATGTTTTTTCCGCTTGTGCTCAAGCCAACGGCCAGGTGCCCACCTCTGACCAGCGAGATCCTAAAGCCACCCAATCTAAGTATTGATCTCCCAATGGTCAAGCTATTCAGATACCGACCAACATAATAGCACCGCTTGAGTTGTGCTAATATCCTAAGTCAAATCAGGCCAATCAAGGTAGCTGAGGAAGATATGTGTTCTAGCCATTGAGACTAACAAAGTGAGAAAGCATGGAGTTAGGACAGTTCCAACTAATCAACTTCCTAACTGCCAAAAATTATATATATGGTCATTTTTATTTTTTTTTAAAAATACACTACATTCAAATATTTTACTAGGTTTTACTTTATTTAATTTTCGAAAGCTCTAATCCTCTAAATGGGTTATCTTAGTTAGTGGAGGTAAGGGGAGTAGAGATTCTCTCATCCCCTCCCCTAACCGCCTTTAGTTGTTTCAATATGCAGATTTACAATTTTATTACTACTTTTATTTAACGCCTTCATAATGTAGATTTTTTATTTTTAGTAGATGATAAATGAAATATCATGATGATGTTCTTCCCCTAAATTTTGGAATCTTGACAGGTTGTGGAAGTTTTTTAGAAGAATTGATTATCTAAGGGTGTGTTTGTTTGGGGGATTCCTCCCCAAATATACTATTCATCTCATTTTTTTTTCCAAAAAAATTAAATCAAACACCTATTTTTCATTTTTAATATTATACAAAAAAATCAATTTTACATTCAAAACATCACATCAATACCTATTTGTATCACATCATACAATTATTCAAATTCAAAATTTTTACAATTCAAATCTCAACTCAAAATCCAAACCCTCAAACAAACACAACCTAAGTCTATTACCACGTTATATTTATTAACTGATTATAGTTAGTTTAATATAGTAAAGTATACGAGAACCTTGTCAACTTGCTTAATTACTGTTTTAATTCAATTTTGATTAACGAGAGATATTAGAAGGGTAAAGTTACTAATAAAACAAATCTTAGAATGATTAATTTGACATAGACGTTTGTCTATTGGGTCTCAGAAATTTCCAATGACACAAGTTTTTTTTGCTTATGTTCTAAATTTGGATGTTATTGAAGTCTTGTTGTAAATTTTTTATGATTAAGTGCCAACGAGTCAAAAATCTGATTTATATGAACAAGTATGATCACACACATTTTTCTTGTCATTTCGTGATATCTATATATGTTATGTTGTTCACCTACACCATCTGCTCATTTTATCCAGAAAATCTTAGTTGTTAAGTAATGCACAAATTACATACAAGCATCTCTGTGCCCTCCATCTTACCACTGACATATTATCGTTCATTCTCTTACTATCACTATTAATCACTGTTCGCCAGTCATCTCTAATATATATGTACCGCTCACCAGCTATCCTTTCCGCTCCTCTCACCGCTGCCTTCACTACATCCATCGCTCGTCATCCATCATTCCGCTGACAGCCATTGCCCGATCATTTTACCGTTTTTTTATATTTCTTCTTTTTACGGCTTTTGACTTGCTCGCCAACGAACCACTCTTACTGTTTTTTTCCTATTCAACAAGACACAATTAAGTATTTTATTTGATTAAGAATTCTGCGATAAAAGAGCTCTGTTTCAATTTCATAACTTAAAATCTTTGTATTATACCTGAAAACTCATTAGTATAAATAGTACTCCATCCTTCCAGAATATTTTGTCCATTTTATTGTAGACACGAGAATTTAGAAAGGATATAATTAGTAAATAATTAAAAATATATTAGTGAAAATAATTATTGTATAATAAAAATAATTATATTTTAAAATTATAAATTAATTTTTTTAAAAATAAGATTAAAGTACATGATTCTTTTCATAAGAAAAATGACAAAATAAGTGGGACGGATAAAAATGAAAAAGTGAACATAAAAAATGAGACGAAAAGAATATAAAAATAATTATGATACAATATTTTAGGATCTACGACAATATTCATTTTATTAATTTCATGTATGACCATAATAATAATAATCATCACCTAAAAGTTAAGTTACACAAAAGAAATTCATCATCACAACTTCAACAAGAGGACCATATCAATCCTAAAATTGTTATAATGTGATGAAACTTAGTTAATAGAAGACGGTAGCTACTAAATTAAATTTAAAAAACAATTATCATCATAATATTGATAATATATTATATATAACAAACGAAACATAATATAATCACGATCAACATAATATAATATTATTAATTTTAGCACATAAAATATGTTCATGCAAATAAATTTTATAAATAAAAATATTAATATATGATTTCGACTATCACAACATATACTTGAAAATTATGCATTGTTTACGTGTTTATTATGTGCCACTGGAAAAATCAGCATTCTTCCCAAGTAGAGTAACATCATCCTTACTGCTACCTCTGTCTCATATTGGGTGTCTTGATCGCTGTAGACACGAGAATTTAGAATAAATATAATTAGTAGATAATTAAGAATGTATTAATGAAAACAATTAACTTATAATATAAATTATTATAGATTAAGATTAAAATAATTAATTAGTTTAATTATAATTTTTTATAAAAAAATAAATTAGAAAATTTAACATAAGATTAAGATGTGTAATCATTTTCCAAAAATTGAAAATGACATGAGATGTGGGATGGACAGAAACGGAAATATGTACATGATAAGTGGAACAGAGGGAGTATTAAACTAGACTTTTTAAAAGTCAAACTCTTATAGATCAGCGAGGGTTGAGTCCCAAGTTCGATCCTAGGTGGGTACGTGTGTCCATGTGTTAGATGAAATACTCCCTCTGTCCCAAAAGTAAGTATCAATTTGCTTTTTGCACGTAATTTTAGAAATATTAGTATTATATTGGGATATAATAGGAATAAAGTAGAAATGACTAAAATAACCTTATTAGTATGTGTGATATAAAGGTAATGACATTTGTGTAATATATTGTAAGTTGTAAGGGTATTTGTAATGATAGGTAGATAGTACCGTTACTAAAAAAATGAGATGGATACTTTGTTATGGGACGGACTAAAATAGAAAAATAGATACTTTGTTATAAGATGGAGGGAGTATGTAAAATTCTTAATAAAAATATATTATCTTTATAGAATATTATAGTAAAATATTATTTAAATTAATTTCAGACGGCGAACAAACATATATTTGAAAGATAGTAGATATATCATTCCATTTATTTTATTATCTAAAAATATTTTGTGTTATTTATTTAATTATTTCTCTAAGTTACTGAGGCAATCATGATATTACAAAATAAGGAGTTGTTAGATACTTGAATTATATATATATATATATATATTAGAAGAAAACTTAATTAGTTAATTAAATACTAGTATATTTTTTAAGTGACACACAAATGAATAATTAAAGTAAAGCCCAGCCCAAGTCTCAAAAAAGAAACTTAGGCCTTTAACTATTAGATACACATAAGAATGCAATATTTATTGAGCTAAAAGAAGGCCCACATAGAATTAGAAGGCTGGGCCCAAAACAAGACAACAACACAGGCTCTTTTTATTATTTATTTTATTTTTCCTAATAATTTATTTAAAATGAGTAAACTATGGCAAAGGATGAATATGTTTTTAATGGAAGGACATTGTCTTTGTTCATTTGTGGGTTTTGTGTCTGGATTTATTAAAATTTAAATAACACATTATATATATTATATCAATAATTACTATTTTTTATATAGAACTTGTTAATTAGGTCAAATTAATATTATACTGATTTAACCAAATCTATACGATAACCAGGACAGAGTAAAATTATTTTCATTAGGCCATCTTCAATCCGTCTAACTCCATTTATTCAGTTTTAACTCTAAATATACAGTTGTTACAGTAATTTTATTTCAATCATAACTCCATTTTTACTATTATTTTTTAAATATTCATTTTTTTCTATTATTTTAAACAATTTGTTATTTTTATAATTTAAAATAATTTTTTTAAAAATTGGCGTCGGCTGAAGACAACCGACGCTAAATAACCCAACCCAACGCCATTATGATACTTAGTAAGGTGCACTTTTATTTTTGAAATTTCATGAATGATAATTGAGAATTAAATGCTCTTGCTATTAAATACTATATTCATCTTATTTTAAATGATACTTTTAATTAAGGATATGATAATGACATTTAATTTGTTAATATAATAAATTATAATACTTATCCATTTTCATCTTTTTGTCCTGTCCATTCAATTATAATTTTTAGTAAATTTATTTATTTTAAAAATACTTAACAAATATAAATCAATTTAATTAAAATTTTAATTTCTTACACATAACTTACTCAATATCTCTTTATTTCTATATCTCTCATCAATAAATAAATATTTTTACCTATATTTAAAACTTCTCATTTTTTATACAATTAATTTTTAAGTTAATTATAAATAAATATTTTATTTATTTATTTGTATTACATAAAATCTTATTATCTACGAAATGATAGTCATATTACGTATATTTTATTGAGATATAATTTTAAAAATATTTAAAATACCAAAATAATAAAATAATATCATAGCTCATTACTAATATGTAATTATTACTTACTAAATAACACCATCTAAAATATCATGTCCTTAACAAAAGGGATCATTTCTCGCGGAACGAACGAAGGGAGTATAAATTTTTTAAAAAATTTATTATACTGTATATGATTTTTAAAAAATTAAAATATATAAATATTTTAAAATATTATATCTCAATAAATTATTATTGCAATATAAATATTATTTTATCAATGATAAAATATTATATAATACAAATAAATAAAAATATATTTATTTATTTATAACATAAACTAATTTTATTGATAAGCTAAGAGACATATAAATAAAAAAGTTTTGAATAAATTCTATGTGATATAGCGTATTATGTGTTATAAAATTAATTAAATTAATTTATATTTATTAAATATATTTTGAATTAATAAATTTTACTAGATATAAAAAAGTATTATGGGACAGAAATAGTTATTATTAGTATTATTAAAGATAAAATGAAACTGTTGAAAAATTACCAAAGTGGTGAGCAAAAGATAAAACAATATGTTGGAATGCAATCAATTACTGTAGTAATATTTCTTGGAAATTTGATCATATATTTGTTGGACTAATCTGCACCCAATTAAGTAAATAAATAAAACACACCCTAATGAATTGAAGCCCTACCTGAAATGATCTATCCGTAGAATTTTGTCCATGTCTTTTGTTTTTATTTATTTATTTATTTATATCAAGTGAAAATCCACAGTGCTTTCTGGATAAATACTCCACGTCATCCAATTGTGTGTTCATTTGATCTGACACGAATTTTTAAAAAAATATATAATAATAGAAATTTCTATTTTTTATTTTTTAAAAAAAGTGATATTTTTTTACTAAAAAAAATGGAAATAAATTTGAATGATGACAAAAAAAGAAAAATAAGAATAAATTTGATATGATTCTCCCAGTTGGTTCAGACGTCTTGGATAGCAACACCCAGAAATAATTGTGGGTGCGTTTACTCGTGAGGTTTTGATTTTGAATAGTAAAATTTTGAATTAAAATAGTTGTTTGATGTGATATAAATATGTATTGATTTGATATTTTGAATATAAAATTAAATTTTAATTGAATAAAATAAATAAAAATTTAGTATTTGATTTGATATTTTTTTGAGAAAAAAAAAAATTGAATAGTAAAATCTTACAAGTTAACTCACTACGTAATATTATTGTTATTAATTATTATTATTCCACGGTGGCCGGAGTAGCAACGAAATATTACTACTTTAAATTAAATAAAATAAAATAAAATTTAGAAAACGACATTATAGTAGTATATAAAATTTCCCTCACACTCTCTATCTATCTATCTTTACATTCTCATCCATGTTAATTGCCACTGCCAAATAATAATAATAAATTCATTTTCAGATTCTTAATTAATTATATATATATATATATTAATTTGAAATTTGGGTCGTTTTTTTTTAGTTAATTGGAAGCTTCTAGGAAACGAGTTTACGTACAGTGGAAATTTGGTTAGAGTTGAAAAGATACTATTTTTGTCCCGGGTTACATTTACCTTTTGCGTCATTGTACTTAATATTCAAAATATTATTATATTTGTATAATTTTTTTTGTACAAATATTTTTCTATTAGTATTATAAAATATTAATGGAAGTATTTTTGCAATTTTTCTTAATCTGTACTGTATTTTTGATATAATAATTAATATTAAAAAATTAACACGCAAAAAAGTAAATGGACACTTAAGCCGGACGGAGGTAGTATATAACATGGGATTGTTGGATTGGGTAAATTAAGGGTGTGTTTGTTTGAGCGATTTGTGAAGATTTCCACTGTTCATCCAAAATTTTTTTTCAAAAAAATCAAATAAAATACTTATTTTTTTATTTTTTTTATTATACTAAAAAAATATCACATCAACACCTATTTATATCACATCATATAATTATTTCAATTCAAAATTTTTAGTATTCCAATCCCAACTCAAAATTTAAAACCCCAAACAAACACACCCTTACTTAGAGAGAGAGAGAGAGAGAGAGAGAGAGACGACACGAAGACTCCAAAAAACTGGAGATGAATTGGAAAGTTGAATTTTAATGGTGGAGATGAGGCAGAGAGAATCTTGTTTTTTCTATGCACAATACATAACATAACATTACATTATGGCCCATGACAGCGTGGGAGACCAGACCAGACCAGACCCACTCCTTCCCTTCCCTTCCCTTCCCTTCCCTGCCAGGTTTTTTTATTCCCATCTAACATGCATTCTTACCTTCTTCACTTCTATTTTCTATTTTATTTAATGTCTCGCTCATCTCATCTCATGTGTCGTCCTCTACTTCCTCCCTCCCTCTCTCTCTCTCTCTCTCTCTCTCTAAACATCACACACACACATATATATATATATATATGATCGATCTTGCCACCATCGACTTGACCTCTTTAATTAAATTATTTTATTTCCGCGACTAACAATAAAATAGAATAAAAGCATCCTAGTAGCAATAGAAGTAGTAAATTAATTATGTATGTATATGTATCCATCTTTTAATAGGAAACAAAAAGGATGCCAAAATAAATAAAGAAAATTAAATAATTAATTATATAACTGGATGGAGGGAGGGAGGGAGGGACCCAATGATGAGTGATTTCAGTAGCTGATGATCAAGAAAACCTTCTTGCACAGCCAAATTCATTTCACCATTAATTACATCATCCACCTATCGACAAAAGCGTACGGACTTCCTCATATATCGCCTATACATACATATCAATGGTAGTTTTGGTGGTCCGACCATGGCCAGAAATCAGGGTTTTCTTCAATGCCTGTAAACATGTTCCCGAAACCCTCACCTGCTGCTGTAGTAGTAGTAGCAGTAGTTTCTATCTTCGAATTTTGGCATAATTGCAGAGAATTATTAATAATATTATTATGATGATGATGATCTGCCCTTGCCCTGCTGCGTGGATTTGATGAAGTTTGGAGTAGCTGCGTCAGATCGCCGGCGGCGGGATTAGGAAATAGAACAGCGGCGGTGGCGTCGTTAACGTTGTTTTGATGATGATGACGATACAATGCGCTGTCCGTCGTTGACGTGGCGTTGTTCAGGTTGACCTCACAACTGTTGTTGTCGTTGTCGTTGTCGTCACTACCATTGCTCCACGATCCTTCGTTCTCCTTGTTCAGATTGATCCTCCCCTTCCCATCCCCAAACGTCGTCGTTTTCAGACCCATTAACTGATCAATTAAATCAAATCAATTCCAAGATCCAATCAGAAAAACCCTAATTTTGTTTCTAATTATTAGATCTGACTATACATATATATATACCTTGGATGGATCGAATTGGGTAATTAATTAATTAATTAATTAATTAATTATTAATAAGGGCACCTGATTTTGAAGCTTCTTGTTCTGCGATTTGAGGGCATCATTGTCGGCCTTGAGAGCCTCAAACTGTCGTTTAAGGACATCGTAATCCTTCTCCAATTGCTTCGTTTTCCAGCGGGCCCTTCTGTTCTGAAACCATATGGCCACCTGTCGGGGCTGCAGGCCCAAGGCCCGAGCCAGCTGCATTTTCCTTTCGGGCTCAAGCTTGTTGCCCGATTCGAAGCTTTTCTCCAGGGCCCGAACCTGCTCCAGGTTCAGTCTTCTCTTCTTCTCCCCCAGCATTAATTGTGACCCGTCGTCAGACACCTCGTCGTCTTGCTGGACCTGATGAAGACGATGATGATTAGAATGGTGATGATGATGATCTTCCGCCGCCCGATCCATGCCGGAAAACGACATGGATCTCCTCATTAGGAACTCTGCAGGCACACCTGCAACGAGTAATTAATTAATTAAGCCCCAAATTAATCAGCTACAGAAAAACCCTAAAAATTTGAATGATCAAATCGATGATTGGACTAGGTGGTCCATTTTCGATTTATATTCCTACCATGGAAATCTTGAGGAGGAGCACATGGTGAAGAAGTGTGGAAATGGCTATGGCTGTCTTCATGGGTCGATCTGAAGATGGACTCCGCGGGAAGAAAAGCCATTAATGGAGATCCAGCTAGCACTACTGCTCGAATTGAGACGACGACGAAGTTGAAGTTGAGAAGAAGATCATATATGGAAGCTAATTAAGTAAGGTTTGGAGATGGAAAAACCAGAGAGAGAAAGATGAGAGAGAGAGAGATTAGGTGAACATGGAAGCCAGCGATAATCTGTGCTGAGACAGAAAGGGAGAGAAGAAACATCAACTGTTATTTATTGCTCAAAGATTCTGGATTATGCAGAAACAATGTGACCATTTAATATTTTATTATTTATTATTTATTTCTTCGTACATATAAAAAATGAAAATTCATTGTAATGGATCGATGTGTGATTGTACTTGTAGCTTGGGCCCTATTCTACCAAGTGTTTTTGTCTATGTTTCTTTTATTTTATTTTATATCCAAATATAATATAGATAAAATTAAAGACACTAGTTGATTGATCCATTTTGTATCAATAGAAATGGACAAGAGAATACTTAAGATGTGTTAATTAAAGCATCTAAGAAAATTGATATATTTCAATCGTTTTCCAGCACCTTTCAACATCACATCGTGTCCTCTTACGCCTCCTTATTTTATTTTTATTTTTTTTTAAAAAAAATATGTACATATATAATTTCTAAATTATTGGTGCTTTTATTTGAACTGTAATCTAAATTAAAATATCATAAGCAAACCAGCAGAAATATGGTCTATATATCCAAAACTGCTTATCGATTTTCGAAATAATTGTGGGATTTAGATTTCTAAGTTAGCAAAGTCTAAATTATTGGTGCTTTTATGTGAACTGTAATTTACATAAAAAAATATTATATTCAATTTTTTATTTAAAATATTAAATTAAAATTAGATTACATCGAATATCTATTATTAACTTTTCAAAATTGTAAAAATATAGTTAAATGCAAAATAAATCTACATCCAACAATACAATGGCTATTTTCCATTGTAAGCATATACATATATATATATATATATATCAATAAACAAACACTTTATTAGCTGCCTAAAACCTGCCCTCATCCAACCTTATCGACTCTCAACTTAGAAAGAATGTCTTAACCCATATATAGTTACTAACACCAAACTCCAAAAATAAATAAATAAAAATTAGATAAATAAGAACCAATGTGTCTTTTATTCACTAAGAATTTTTATCTCAAATAATAATAATAATAATAATAATAATAATAATAATAATAATGCCAATCAGACTGGCTACATGATTGAATAGCAAAAATCAACATAAATGTTTATTCAACGCAATACATGTTATGTTAAATAAAAACATATCTTTATGTACTGAGATCAACTGTATATTATATTATATGTGACTAATGATATATGTTACTCGTTCATAATTGCATTTCTATTATATTAACAAACAACAAATAATAGATTTTATAGTCACAGATAATATAATCCATAGGTTTTAAAACATGAAATGCATTCGTACAATACGACTACATATTTTTCTTTTAACGCTTCACATATTTGTATATATCGCGTATTGTTTGTCTCTTTAATATGTAGTGTCAACATATATATATATTATGTATTGTGTATCTCTACATCGTGCGTTGTGTATAACTGTGTCATAAGTTGTATTTATATTATATTAACATAAAATAATAAAAAAAAAAACACTGTTTAATAGTCAAAGACAATATGTAGTAAAACGCTACATAATATACAATTGATTTCAGCACATGAAGTGCAATTGTACAACACATTAGCTACTTTTATTTAATACTTCATGTGTTATTTATATTTATACCGTGTGTTGTCTGTTTCTTTAGTATGTATCGTCAGTAACCATCGGCAATATATCAATATACAAAAATCAAATTCCGACTTTATTTTACATTTTTTTTTAAAAAAAAAAAACAATTTCTACAAATAATAAATAAATAAATAAAAAATCTCACACTTCTATTTTGTAATCATTTGAAGTAGGTAGCAGCATAAGTAAAGACCATATATTCACACAGACTTTAAGCTACAGACGGAAAGCTGTGGCCGTCAGTTACTGTGTACCGCCACTGCCCCGCCGTGTCAGTCGTCGTCTTCGTCGTCATCCGTTAACTTTGACGGAGTTTAACTTTAACCAAAGAGATTAACAGAAATGGTGGTTTGGTGCATGCTGTTAGGCAGAAGGATATATACAAAACATTATAAGCAAGGTTAAACAAATCAGATCGATCATACGAATTATTCAGATGGATGGATCGACAACGTAACAGGATATTTAGAAACACCATAATTCCCAGATCGCACAAATAAAAGCAGACCAAGCAGAGTTGGGTGAGACCTAAACCACCCAAATTAGGGTTTGAAATAATACCAGCCATTCACGTCCCTCTCACCCGAATGATTAATTACCAATTAAATTAATTTTATTTTACTCTTTGAATATTGTAATATTATCTCTTTTTATTTATCTTCTTTGTCTGTTTCTTCTTAATTTGTTTTTGTTTTCATTCATTCTAGAAATATACATGTGTATCCTCTCTGACTGTTTGTCTGTCTGTAGAAATTAGATTTGGAAGAGAGGAGAAGACTGGAAGCGAACACCTGTGTTTTGTAATTTTTATATATAGGCTGAGGCCCAATAAGTTGTTAATGGGCCGGCCTGTGGAAGACCAAGTCACGTGACATCAGGTGACGTGAATATTAGCATTTTACAATAATTTAAATAATAGAGTTTTTTTTTTATTTATTAAACTAGAAGATTTTGAAAGATAAAATTATTTAATTACTTGTTTAGATTATTTATTTTGTTATATTTATTATTTTTAATATTCTATAATACTCTATTCCTCCTATATCTTTATATCTATTTGCTTTTTGTACGGAATTTTAAAAATATCAGTATTAAATTAAAATAAAGTATAAATAAATGTAAAAAGACTAAATTAATCCTATTAGTATTGTATAATATAAAGGTAATGATATTTGTGTAATATATTGTAAATTGGAAGTGTATTTATAATGTTAGGTAGATAGTACAATTACTAAAAACAAAAATAGATACTTTGTTATAGAACGGACCAAAATGAAAAAAATAGATAGATTGTTAACAGATATGAGAGTATTTAATTAAAGTTTTATTGAATAAAAGTATAGCAATATTAATATCATTTTATAAAATATAAAAAAAATACTAACATACTCTCCCTACGTCCCTTAATAATATATTCATTTTTTTTTATTTTGGTCCATCTCATAAAATATTTTTTTTTTAATAATTGTACTATTTACCTAATATTACAAATACCATTCTAATTTACATTATATTATACAAATGTCATTATATTTATATCATATAATACTAATAAGTGTAATTCAGTTTTTTACTTTTATTTGTACTGTATCTTAATATAATACTAATATTTTTAAAATCTCGTACTATAAACAAATTGATATATAGATATACGATGAACGGAGTATAATTATAATAATGTGTATAAAAATAATCAAAGTAGATTTTTTTTTTTTTTGCCATTTATTTCAAGATTGTTGTACAGTTTCTTTTTGGCAGACAGCCCTTTCAGGTGGCATTTAGATTTTGTATATCTTGATTTTTATTTTGATTATTATTATTATTATTATTATTTGTTTTTATATCTCTAGTGCATGCCGATGCATATGCACTTAGGCTATATAATTAGCGGAAGGGGTTATTATATTTGGATATTCAGTTGCTACCCTTACTTCAATAATAATTTAATTTTTCACTGTTATTATTTAAATATTCAATATTTTTTTTATTATTTTAAATAATTATTTATTTTTATAATTTAAAATAGTTTTTTCTTTAAATTTAGAAAAATAAATTTAAAAATTAAAATTAATAATAAACGAAGCAACGTAAAAAAAATGGCGCACGATAATCGACGCCAAATCTACCAATCCAGCGGCACTAATGGCACTGGATTAAAGATGACCTAAGAAATTAATCCGATCAAAACCAAAAGTTTGAAGATTTTGAACTAAATTTGAAATTTTTAATTTGGTTCGAATCGAATATTTAAAATTTGAATATTTGGTTTAATACTAATTACTAGGTAAGTGTACACAACTAATTACTAATTCTTATTTTCAATTACTAATAATATTTTATACATTAAAAATTAATAACATAATATCCTAACTTATTATGATTATTAGTTAATTAAATACAATCACTTTAAATATTATATTCCTAATCAAATTTATTATTTGTTATCAGACAAAATAGTATTACCTCCTCTGTCAAGTTCTAAAGACTCATTTACTTTTTGCATATTTATCTTTAAATATTAATTATTATATTAAAATATAGTATAAAATAAGAAATTATAAAAATACTTCCATTAATGTCTTATAATACCGATAGAAAGATAATTTTACAAAAAATTATACAAATATAAATATATTTTTAATGTTAAGTACAATGACACAAAATGTAAATGTGACTCTAAAATGGACGGATGAATATATTAAATCATAACCAAATCAAACTACCTTTTAATTATGCACAATTTATTATAGTAAATAATTATATTTATTCACAATTTTATTACTCTTAATTTCACAAGTAATAATCAATTTATTATTATTTATTATTTATCTTATCATTTTTTTATTAATTCTTTAATAAATTTTTTATAACAATCTATTTTACTCTTATTTACTCTACTTTAATATTAAAATATTAGTATCATTATTTTTATTTTCCGTGCTCAACTGAATCTACACTGTTAATATTTTTATTTGAAAACATACTTGGATTTAAATTTTAAAAGATTCTTTATAATAATAATAATTTAATAATTAATATCAATTAATAATATAAAACCATTTTGTATAATATATTAGGATAAATTATAATAATATATATTTGTTGTGTTTCTACTAATTTTTCTACACCAAAAAACTTATCAAATAGAATGTGTTCACATTAGTAAAATTCATGGTCGTGTATACACCTATAAATTGAACTAACAACGCCAAACAAACACAGTTTTAAAATATGAATTAAACTTCATGTTTCACTACAATGGATGACGACCGGCAACCAGCGGTTCTTCCTCTGGCGGACAAACCCAGGCGGTGGCACGACAGCAAGGCAACAACGGATATCGGCGGGAACAACAACAATTCGGCGACTTCCTCCGGCGACTTCCAAGTGACTTGACAAGAATGATTTGGGGAACTATTTTGATGGCTCTGTCTACAACGTAATGACTTATTTAGGAACTAACCTAATAACCTCCAAACAAAACCTCAAACCTACGGACTCGATCAAGAACCCTGATCGATTTCCCCAAAAATTCACAAAGAACACGCAAATGAACAACTTGCCGGAAGGAATCGAACTAGAATGATTGCGAAGAAAGAAAACTCCCAAAACTCACTAAGAAGAATCGCGAATATGAAAAAATGAAAAATCAGAGAGAATCGCAAAACTAATTATGTTTTCCCAACAGAACCAAATAATAGGGGATATACACTACAAGAAAAAATCATTTTTGTAACAAAACTTTTTTGTCGCTAAATCAACTTTTTCCGTTATTAATGATGACCTGTCGCACGGTCAATCAAATATTTCACATACTCCGTGATCACAATTTAATGTAATATAGGGGAAGGGATCGTCTCCACAGGGATTGTGTGATTCACTCTTTCGTATTCTAATGCAGTAAATAAATGGAGATTTTTCTTTTATTATCTAATGAAAATAAAATAACAAAGCAATTAAATTAATGAGGGAACTGACTATCAAGGGGATGTCTGGCTCATGAAGGGATGATGCAGTTATGACACTTGTGTTTTATCATTAATTCAATAAATTTAATTCTTATTAAAATATCAATAAATTGGTTATAGTTATCAACAAGCTCTGACAACCAATTTTTCCTTACAGTGTAGGTAATTAAGGTACGACCGTTAACTACCCCTAATTAAGCAAATAAACCTAGATGCGCCCATAAGAATATTGCCTAACCGCATTGTAATCTAGAAAAACCCAATTCAAAACAATTACTACCTAGGAGAAGCAATTAGATTTGATTGTCTAACCCCCGGGAATGAACTATTCAACCCGGTTATCACCTATTCAAGTGCGAATACAATTACGGATATCCTACTTGAATTGACTTTGGATTATCAGACTAATTTAAATATCGGTACCAAAATATTCAATCAATCTAACAATCACAAACGCTATTTTCAGAATTAGATAAATATTAATAATCAAAAAGAACTTTTATAAAGAAACTCAAGAATCTCCAAAACAAAAGAACCAAAACATTATCACCCCTCAAACCAGAAAAGTATCTACTCCATAGTCAAATAACAAAGAACAAAAGATAAAGATAAAGTCATAGTGGGAAGGTGAAATCTTCTCTGTCGATTTGCTCCTGTGCGATCTATGGATCTGTCAGTCTCCTGTTCCTGTGCGTTTTTGCCCTAGCCGTTCTCTGCTCTTTTTCTGAAACGTCTGATCCATTCTTTTATTTAATGTTTGCCCTAATTATTTTGTAGATGGACTTTTGGGCCTTTAATTAATATCTCATATCAAGAGAGTGTAGTTAGTCATGGTCATGACTAACTAGGTTGTGCAAATCTGAATTTTTCTTCCATTTTTCTGCCAATTATGCCAAATTTGATATTTGCCCTCTGCACATAGCAAATAAACAATTCGCATATAAATTAGGTAGAATCCAATCAAAATCACTCAAATATCGCATATGATATGAATATAAAACGCATGCGATTTCTAACTATCAAATGACATTAGAGACGGAATTAGGAATAGAATTACGTTAGCTACGTGAACTTTAGAGACGGAATTCCGTTACAAATATATTATTTTTTTTGTAGTGATAAGAGCGCCGGGTCGGATCAGAGCTTTAGAAACAGACCGGGTTAAAGGCTTTGGATTGCGGGTCGGGTTTAATAATGGACCAAATTTCAACATTCTCCACCAATTTGGTCATATAATTTACCGATGGTTACTCCCTTAGGGATGGATATATCACAATCAAGTGACCTTTTTTGCCTAATCAAGTCGCATGGGAATTGCCTGGGAAGATTCACCAATATACAATAAATCTACACTAACAACAAACGTTAAGTAAACATTCTAGTCACAAGCAAACACTAGTCCTGCAGAAACTAATAGTTCATTAAAAAAAGGGGCAACTTAACGCAAAAAGAGGCAACATGCGAACTCCACCTTAGAAATAATCACAACGTATATACATTTCATGACACCACAAAGAAAAACATAGGGAATGTTTATACTAAAACATCCTATCACATGCTTGAACACTTAGAAATACAAAATTAAACATACATCATGCTAAGAAATTCGACGTCAACCACAAAGAAGCTAAGAATATAGGTTTGCACACATTATAACAAAGAGAACTAATTATATCACAAAGTCTACGCAAACACTATCACAAAACTTAATAGACTAACATGCAGTTAGACAAACACTAAGATATTAGCGAAAAATTAACAATATAGATTATTCACTTAGTCTAGAAATACAAAAAAAAAAAAAAAAAAAAAACAATAACAAAATCAAATCACAGCAGAAGAATTGATTTACTCCACCTAGTAACAAAAATGTATGTCATTAAACATAAGAAAACATGTATCAAGCTATACACTAAGAATAAAAAATAAAATAAAATAATAGCAAGCAGGCACAACATGGAAAGCTAAACTAAATTTATTCATACAGTTTTAGAACAAAGATTTCGTCTGAATCTACGAAAAATTCACCGGCACTTAAAGGATCCCAGCCGGAGCTCCGCCCCATCGGCAACGGCAGCTGTAGCATTTTATTGAACATGTTGGACCACCATGTAACTTTCAATATATCGGCTTTCAGTTCCTATGTGGAAATGTATCAAAAGTTAGCGGACATTTTCAGCGTAAAAAAGGCCAAGAGGTGGAAAGAACTCTTCTACTGGGGCGCTATCAGACGAATCTGCAGCGAGCTGTATTGCGGATTTGCGAAAAAGGCAAAACGTTTGACGATCTGTGACGTTTATTTGTGAGCGCTATCGTCGTCGTCGTTGTCGCTAAAAATTTTGTTAGAACCTCTTATTTTTTTGAAATTCCGATCACTGAAGATTGTGAATTGGATTTTAGTGATCTAATGTTTGTCCGTACAATTCCTTGTCGGAAAAGGACTATTTGATTAAAAAAAATTAAAAATTTCAGCATTTGTTTAACAAAAAAAAAGCTAAAATACCAATTTTTAAAAGAGTTCTCATTTCATGAATATTCACATATTAAAGGCAAGTAAAGAACAATCAAAATTCAATCAATATATATCACCTAAAGTTTGACTACACAAAGCCATATTTGATTGATCATTGGACTCAATTATATTATTTAATTATATTATTTGTGTTATGTACTTGACCTTTATTAGTTACAGTAGGGCACGCTTTAATATAATGATCTACTCCACTACAACCATAACATTTTTTAGGCAATGATTTATAATTTTTTCTTTATTTTTCTTTTAATTATTATTTGATGATTAATTATCTTTATTGTTGTTGTTTTGGTTATTCATATTGAAAGTTCTACCGTTTATATGCATAACCTCGCCATTTGAGTTTCCAATTGATTTATCGGTTACTAAATCTAATTCTTTACCTTTTAAGTTATTTATTATTATAGTAATGTTATCTCTACCATATTTAACTGCGGATTTAACATCACTATAGAAACGAGAATGATATTTAAAAGCACAATTGGAGAATATTCATAAATATATTGATCTCCACTCGACTTTATATCTTAAATTAATTTAGTAAAGAAATCTATATTTGTCTAGTTTGAATTGGAAAATTTTTCAAGCAAGAACAACTTATTTGACAAAGTTATTTCCGTATACAACACACGTAACCTATCAAACAATTTTTTTGCACTAAAAAACTTACCTACTTTCTTAAGTACATTGTCAAGAGATGTATCATCATCAAAAGTATCACATATTACTCAAAAAAAATTTGAGTAGTTAAAATACTTTTCATTCTTTGTTTTCAAATTGTAAAATTTATTTTTCCATCAAACGACCGTATATTTTTTTTAAAAAAAATTACCCATAGAAAACAATCATTTTAAAAAAAAAAAAAAAATTACCCACAAAAGAAATCACTCAAAAACACAATCTAAGCCGTTAACTACCCATCAAGCACAAGATTTGCAACAACAATAAACTAGAGCCACAAAGAAAAACAAGATTCCCAAAATCAAACAGTATTTGCAATCAACATGTTCACCAAGATTCTTTCTAATTTGCAATAAGCAAATTTTCCAAGAAAAAAAAAAGAAAAAAAAATTTAGTCATTTATCAAAATTGAACTATTGCCAACAATTGATTTATTCGAAGATTCTGTCCGAACTCGTTGCTTTGACAAATTTTGGCTCTAATACTATTATTGTGTTTTACTAATTTTTCAACCACAAAAAACTTATCAAATAGAATGTGTTCATAATATTAAAATCCAAGACCATGTATATACCTAAAAATTGAACTAAGAACCCAAACAAACATAGCTTTAAAACAAAATATTATTTATAAAAAATAAAAATATTAGATAATTAAAATGAGCGTTATAAACAGCTGAGATATCACAATCCATAGGATTTTACTAACCACTTATTTCGCGAGACTCTACATCACATTCCTTAAGAAATCAGTTTCCAATTTGCACCTACTCCACACTCAACGTCCCCAATAACAATGATTTATGATATTCCAACGCATATATAATTTTCTATTAACAGATTATTATTTTTTATAAAATAAATAAAATAAAACATCGAAATCCAAATTATATTACAATATATTAATAAAAATATTTTTATAATTTTTTTATTTATATTATATTTTGATATAATAATTAATATTTAACAATAAACACGCAGAAGATAAATGAAGGACTTTATCAGTATATAATACAATTTCCCTAAAATTAATACGAGTCTCCACTTGAATTTTCGTATGGGCGAACGCCCACGAATGCATCCATTTTGAGCCATCCAAGCATTAATTTCCGCGTCCATCGATTTTTTCACACTACTTTAATTATTGTTATTTTATTTGTTTGGTGATTTTTATTACAGCGTGGATAAGAAAAAGGAGAAAAACTCGGGTAATGGGTTTCTAGATTTTTTGTCCCATTCGTCGTTTCAGTCGTCAGACAGAGACGAAATTGAGATCGAGATTGAGAAGGTGAAAGGAAGAAGAAGCTCTGGTAAAAAGGGCATTTTTCTTCTTCCCCACATTGCCTTCTTGAATTCCTTCCTTCCTTCCAGGGCTGGTTTAATTTTTCTTCCAAATCCATGGATTCAGACAACATTCGCCCAACTTAATTATCATCGATTGTCTTTTTTCTTCCGAATTTCTTGTCGCGATCCGGCCAGCCCTAGCCCTAATTGATTGTTTTTTTCGTTAAATTAGTTTGGGGGTTTTGAAGTCGCTCTTCCTCAAATACTGTTTGATTTGGTATTGTTTCTCGATCTTCGAATTGCATTTGCAGGCGAGGAAATCGCAGCTCTTCCAATTGTTGCAATTTATATTAAAGTTTTGTTTCCTTTTTTTAATATTCAAATCTGCAGCGAATCTATTACAGAGCCAGCTGTTTCATCCGAGAATGTTTCCAAATCTTCGTGGAGCTTGTTCAGATTTTTAATTAATTCCATTTTTGGGGATTGTTTGGAGTTCTGCTGATTATGGGATGCGCGTCGTCGAAGCAGAAGGTCTGCCGGAAATGCAAAACGCCATATTTTCCGGTGCGTCGGAGCTTATCAACCCGCCACCGCCGTAAAAAGCCGGCGGAGGAGAATTCCGATCATCTGGTTTCTCTTACCGCGTCCACATTGGGATCTTTGAATCTCCCTCAGATTCGTGTTTCAGGACAGAAATTAGACACATGTCAGAATCAGAATCAGAATCAAAATCAAAATTGTGTTCAAAATCGAGGAATTGCGGAAGGCAATCGAACAGTGATCGGAAATCGGGAATCAGAGGAATTCTCCATGACTATGATCGAGGCCAAGACATGGTCGGAAATGATCGAGAAGAAGATCCCCAAAATCGTCCCCAAAACGCCGGTAAGAACGCCGCCGGGAGAGCCGGAGACGATCAATGTCTGGGAATTAATGGAAGGCCTCGACGACAACTTCAGCCCTCTCCGACAGGTTCATCATCATTTCCGAAGCTTTTCTTTCAACGTTTCCTCCACTCCCCCAGATTTAGCTTCAATCGATGATGCATCACCTCCGCCGGCGCCGGAGAAGCCGTCCGTAGATCATTCTTCCGACAGCGATTCCAATTCGAATCTAAATTCAGACACATCGATAATATCCGAATTCGATCCCGACGTAATTGCCTCATTCAGAAAGGCCCTGGAAGATCTCCCGCCGGCCAATCCATTTCACCTCAATCCAATTGACAATAAAGACAACAAATCCACAGACAAATCGCGCGGGGACAAGGTGACTGTATATTTCACAAGCCTTAGAGGTGTAAGGAAGACGTACGAGGATTGCTGCCATGTCCGCGTGATTTTAAAAGGATTAGGAGTTAAGATCGACGAAAGGGACGTGTCGATGCACGCCGGATTTAAGGAGGAGCTAAAGGAGCTTTTAGGACAAGGATTCGGGGGGCTGCCGAGGGTCTTTGTCGGGAAGAAATACATCGGAGGAGCTGACGAAATTAGGCGCCAAAACGACGAAGGGACGCTCCACAAGACACTCGAAAGCTGCGAGCTGTTAGAACTCGGCAATAACCGTAATCGCAATGTGTGCGAGTCGTGTGGCGACATTCGATTCGTACCATGTTGTACGTGTTCGGGCAGCTGCAAAATCTATTACGACGGTGATTACAACAACGACGATTATGAAGAAGAAGAAGATGTCGATGAAATCGACGAGGAGGAGCACGAATATGGCTTCCAAAGATGCCCCGATTGCAATGAAAATGGACTCATTCGCTGCCCGATTTGCTGCGACGATTACTAAGATTTTCGACATGTTTTGATTCGTGTGAATTGTTTGTTTGTTGTACAGTAAGCAGTTTTTGATCTGTCTGCTGAATGAGATTTCCCTGTAATACATATATACTGTCTTTAAATCTTCATATCCTGTAATGTAATATGAGAAGCAATATATATATATATATACACAAATTGTTTGTGTACTTAGGAGAGCTGTGTTGGTAATTTTGGACAGAAAATTCAGTAGAAAACATGTGTCCAAAGATCTTGACAAGTCAAAGCATTTTGGACGGTGCTACCGCGCTGCATTTTAAATTTAGCGTTGTATTGAATAGCATATCGTATAGCATGTTACTATAAATAACACACAATATATTTTAATATAATACAAATATAACACAAGAGCGAACAACACATGATATAGTCTCAAATAACACATACAATAAGCACAAGCAGACTCTTATAAAACACACGTTATTATATTTTTATTACAAGCAACACATACTTTATTTAATAAAAATGTGTACTGATTTAAAAAATCTAACATCTGTTTAATTTTCCAAATTCAGCATCCTAACATTCTCCGTTTTGGGACCACCCATCTCAAGTTGTCCGATGACCAAGTTTATAGCAGTGTGACTATTTCTGATTATATTCAAGAAAGTCAAAAGGACATGCAATTGTTCTAGAAGTTTTTTATTTGAAAAAATTGAAAGGGTATCTTGATCTGGGTTTGGTTAAAAATTCATGGGCCGTAGTGTGAGGAGTCAATTGGGTTTACAAGGAACTGGAGTGGGTATAATTCTCGGTACTCCCGGAGCCCAGATCCAGAAAAAATAGATGCATTATGCCCTTAACTTTAATTGCCGGCCTGTTAATTACGAAGCAATCAATATTCCAAATGGTATCAATTTATTTACCTGTATGCATTTAATTGAAAAGGAAAGTTCATAAATACTTTTATGGTTATTACATTTATTCACCCAACGGTCACGTGCTTCTCACATGAAGGTGCTTCCGTAGGAGCAAGTTTTATTGGGCTTTGGTCCGAGCCCATTTGTTATCTAAAAGTGTTAACATAATTTATTTACTGCAGGTCAGTTTTTTTTTTTTTTTTTTTTTTTTTTTTTTTTTTTTTTTTTTTTTTAAATGTAAGCTTAAAGCTTATAGGAGTCCATGTTTTAAATTCAATTTTGACACTATTTATTTATTTATTGTAAGTTTTTTTCTTTAAAATATATTGTTACAATACTTTGGTTTTATATTCATTGGTTCAAATTAGTATTATTATGACTCGATTGATTTGATGTCGATTTGATTCCGTCTTATATCTATAGCGCACAATCCACTATATAAATTATAAATTATATGCTTTTATATAACACAATATTATTTTGTGCTATATAAAATTATATAATTTTTTATCTATTTGTTGACTGGATAAAATCAATAAAGTGGTGATTTGACTCAACCACCACCTTATCATTCGCCCATATACAATCATTTATAATATTTCATCTGTCTTATAAAATAAAATTTTAATGTGTATTTTTTTTGTGAAATTTTACAGGAATAGTAATATGATTTTTGGATTAAAGTAGAATATGTGTTAAAAAAAATATGTGGGGTTCATCGGTAGCATTTGTTTTAATAGATGGAAAAATAATTGATACATATTTAAAGGAAAAAAAAAAAATTTTTTAACTAAATATAATATAAACATATTTTTGATATACAAATTAAACTGATGAAGTAAGTATATTTTTTCAATATATATAGTGTTATATTCGTCTCGGTTACCCTGCTAATTTGGTTTTGATTAGCCCCAATTCGTTTGATAAATAATTAATTCAATGGTTGAGATTATTTGTAATACCCTCGGAGTTAGGCCGGTGCTAGACTAATTCTCGTGGATGAGCCGAGCCGGTGTCAGATAATCCAAGGTTGAATATAATATAAGTTAAATGGATTGAATAGACTAGTCTTGTCAACAATGTACACATTTTTTTTCGAAAACTTTACTGAAAAAAACTTTAGAATTAAGCGTGCTTGCTAAGGTGTGGATAAGCAGAGCTGGATCTAAAGTCCGATACAAGAGGAAGCTAATTCTTAAAAATTTTAAAATAACTCAATTAAAAATATACATTTCAATGTTATATTTTTCAAGTTGGTATATTAAAAAATAATAATAAATAAAGCAATAAAATAAATATATTTGTATTGCTTGAAAATAATAAATGAAACCATTTTTTTAAAAAATATATATATTTAGAAAAAAATATTAAAATTATCTTATTGTCACAATTAAAAATGTCTTTAGCTTTTATTATATATATGATATTATTTTATAATATTTTTAAATAATTATATGATATTAAAATACTAGTAAACATACTTAATTATTTTTTTAGTATTGTTTTTATTTAATTCAAATATTTTTCTATATAAATATATTATATATTTATATATATATATAAAGAAAAATTCAAAAATTCAAATAAAATAAAAGGCAGCCCGGGCAAAGGGCTCCTTTTTGATTTAGTGAGGACAAAAACGCTGTAAAGACTCGTATTGACATGTGAAATCAGTCTACAATTTCGATATGCGGGTCGGAGCGTCACATTATTGTTAAAATTATAATTGTAATTAAGTATTTTATTTCATAATAAGGTAAAAAAATTTCTTTCTTTTTTACTATTGAAATTTAATTTATTGAAGATTTTTAACAATTATCTTCTCCTTCCTGCACTTCTTGAAATATATTTGTTATATAATAAATAATAATATATTTTGTATAATGTTCAATTGTGATATTTAAATAATAATAATAATAATAATATGTTAATTTTGCAATATAATATTTATTATATGATAAAATGTGACTGTTATAATACAATCGTTTGTTATCTATAATATAAATACGTGCTAATATAATAATGTTTTATTTTAAATATAATAATTATGCAATGAGTTTATTATATGGTGAAATTTGTTAGTTATAGTGTAATTATTTGTTATTTATAATATAAATAGGTGCTAATTTATTAATATGTTATTTTAAATATAATAATATATTAATTTTGCAATGTGCTTATTGTGGTGAAATGTGTTGGTTATAGTTAATTATTTGCTATCTATAATATAAATATGTGCTAAACTAATAGTGTAATATTTTAAATATAATAATATATATTAATTCTGCAATGCATTTTTTGTGTGGTAAAATGTGTTTGATATAGTGTAATTGTTTGTTATCTATTATATAAACATAAATTAAATCAATAATATGTTAATTTTGCAATATGTTTGTTGTGTAATGAAATGTATTGGTTATAGTGTAATTATTTTCTATCTATATAAAAATGAATTAAACTAATAATATATTATTTTAAATATAATAATATGTTAAAATTCAAATGTGTTTGTTGTGTAGCGAAATATGCTCGTTATAGTCTAATCGTTTGTTATCTATAGTGTAAGTATGTGCTAAATTACTAAAGTGCTATTTCAGACGTAATAATATGCTACTTTCAAAATATATTTTGTGTGTGGTGAAATGTGTTCATTATAATGTAAATATTTGCTCCCTTGATACAAATATTATCACAGACATAAGTTCAATTTTTAAGGCATCCTTAAATCATTTGTTTTGATTTAGCACATTGTATTTCTTCCGAATAACATATTATTACATATAACATAGCAAATATTAATAGATAAAAAAAATATAAATAATGTTTTCTATATTCACACAACAAAGCACATTCTTCTATATCTTCTAACTAAATCTAAATATAAATTATAAAATACAAAATTTCAAAATTAATCTTATCAATAAGGGTAAACTTAAACTGTTTTTTTAGTACAGTAACACTACCTCCTTATCATTTTAGTTCCGTAAGTGGAGTCTGTCGCAAACTAGTCCCATAAATGATAAATTTTCGCTGTTTTAGTCATCCGATGCCAAAGGCGCCCGCTTGGCTAGCCAGAAACCACGTGTCTGTCCCACCAGGTCAGCGACACCGGACGGACACGTGGATTTATTTATTTATTTTTTTTCAATTGAACCAAATAAAAAAATTAAAAAAATAAAAAATAATAATAATAAAATCCACATATCCGCCAGGTGTCGCTGACCTGGCAGACACTTAGCCTCCGGCTAGCCAGGCGGGCGTCTCCGGCGTCGGAGGATTAAAACAGCAAAAATTTTTCACTTATAGGACTAGTTTGTGACAAGCTCTATTTACAGGACTAAAATGATAAGAAAGTCCAGTTACGGGACTAAATAATAGTTTACCCTATCAATAAATAACCTTGTGATCTAACTTGAGCACAATCAAACGGTGCTCATTAAATCAACGCTCTGCCGCCTATTATATTAGTAACTTATTTTTGGTATAGAATGTAACGACGTAGTTTATAAGTTTATTCAATATGTATTTAAAGAGTAGCCATTATAGATTCGCATATTGTAAAGATTTCATTTGATTCATTATCAACAGTAAAAGTGTATTTGGTACAACAAATTGAGAACAAAGAAATAAAAAATATTTTTATTTTTTGATTTGTTTGATTAAGATAAATGAAACTTAAAAAATATATTATTTTAATTTATCTTCCTTCTTTTTTTTTTCATTTCTTTCTCCCCCAAATCTAAAAAAATATAAAGAAATAATGAATTTTGATTAAGTATATTATATTTTAAAATTTTTTTATTATTTATTTTTAAAAAAATTATATTATGTCAATCTTACAAAACATTTCATTTAATTTTACAATTCAATTATTTCATTTTTATGATTTTTTAAAAAATATTACATTAAAATTTGATTTTACAAAATATCATATTTAATTTATTATTTAAAAAATCACAAAAAATATTTTTTTTATGGATCCTTATACGTTAAAATTCTTATATATATATATATATATATTAATTGAATTCTCTATTTTACTAAGTAAATAAAAAATTAATTCTCTTATTTAACAAAGGCCCCCTAAAGGTTTCTTTGTTTGGAATTGGATTTTAAATTTATTATTTATCTTTTTTAAAAAAAAAAAAAATCATCATATCAAACACTTATTTTTTATTTTTTATATCATACTAAAAATCAATTTTATGTTAAAAATATCACATCGACACCTATTTATATCACATCATACAACTATTCAAATTAAAAAATTTTACTATTCAAATTTCAATTCAAAATCCAAAAGCCCCAAACAAACAAACCCTTAGGGAATTTTCAATGCAAAGACAGAAAAGTAAATGTAATATTGAACACGTAAAGAACTTGTAAAGCCAACAAAATATATACTCATTATATTGCTATTAACTAATATCTGTAAATAAATAACAACAATTTAGTTGTCGGTCTGGGTTATAAATATAAATATAAATATAAATATAAAATTAATAAGACAAATTTTCAGTGGTCCTAATCATGGCTGATAATTAATGACTAACTTAACATATATAGTGTTTATTGTTTAAACATGTCGGGTCTGTTTGGTTTGTATTAAAATTTAAATTTAAATTTTGTATATAAATATTAGTAGAACGTGTTATTTTTTATAAGAGAAATTATTTAATAATATTTATAAAAAAAATTAGCAATCTAAAAAGAAATAGAACCGTTTGTTGATTGTACTGTTTAAAAATAGTGATTGTGTTAGAAAAATAAAAAGAACATGTTTATTATTTATTTATTATTATTATTTTAAATTTATGAATGCCTTTTATGATTAAGACATTAGTTTAATAGAGAAAAGGAGTGTCCCTTTCTATCCCCTGCTGGGGTGCATATTTGTCTCTTGGATTACACACTAATCTCTATCATTTCCCATCATTTATTTTCTACTAATCATCATTTCGTATCTTAATTAATTAATTAATTAATTATTGTCTATTTAATTATGTGCCTTTATTAAAATAAAATACATAACTGTCCTTTCTAAATAAAATATGTGTGTGCTTTGTGCTTTTCGAGTAATATTAATTACATTCATCTAATTACTTTTTATTATGATGTATTTCGTAAGTAGTAAAATTTAATCTATATAAATTTCCACTATATTCATGATTCATATTTTCTTTGAAACATTTTATAAATCAATAATAATACTAAAAAGTTTCAAATGATTTTAAGGGGAAATAACAAATGATTAGTAACAGGATGTGAGTATTCGTTTATGTTATCAATTTTTGTGTCATAGCCTATGATGAGATCCAAGAAGATTCAGTGTGGATCAAATCGAATTATTTAAGGTGGTTGATAACTTTGCAATAATAATACCCAATAAATTGATAATTCATCTAAAACTTTCTTTGAAAAATTTTCTGGGTTGTTTATTTAGTGAAAAAAGAACACACTCTTCACTGTTATTATATGTTAATTAATTTTGGTAAATGCATGCAACTTTAGACATGCAATGAGGCCCAATATTAAAAAGAATATATACATATATATATATATATATATAAATGCACACACAATAATGCGACGTTGGAGTTATATATTAAATAAAAGTTTTGTGATGGAATAATATCAATCAATTAAGGCAGATCCATTACAGCAGAGCAGTGAGGGATACATAGTAGTAATAATTATTATTATTATTACAAATATATTACATAACGACGTCGTATTCCCTAGCTAGCCGGCCTCCTCATGAAATAGTAGTACGTAGTAATATTAGTTACTTAATAATATAATTAATTAATTAATTCATACCAAGCTAGCTAGCTAGCTATGGCAATATTGAATCAGCATATAAATATTATTTAATCTGATGATACGTACCTGGCCGGGGGGGTCCTAAATAACAAATTTATTTATCAACGTAAGTTTAATTTGAAGTTAATTAGAATACATATTATATATATATATATATATATATAGTTAATTAAATTAATTATTATTAAGAGTGGAGCTAGCTAGCTAGCTAGATTAAGGTCCTAATAATTGCAGCCTGGGGACTGTCAGCTTCAACGGTTGACAGCAAATTGGAAAGCCTCTCACTCAGATCATCCACTTCTTTGTGCAAATTTCGTATGTAATTGCACGTCTCCTGAAGCACTTTGTTTGCCGATGCTGATCCTGCAGCCTGCAATTCAACCTATTTTATTTAATTAAATATATTATTCATTGTAATATAGATGAATAATTAACGATGAATTGAGGACCTTTGTGGCGCCACGGCGGCCGGTGGTGGAGCTGCGAATCTCCGGGAGGAGTTGGTGGAGTTTGGAGACGAGATCGATTATTTGGGCCTCGCTTATTCGGGGCGCCGCCGCCGTGCCTCCCGCCGCCGCCGATTGCCGAGACCTTCTTCCCGACGACATCTATCTTTGTATATATGTATTCTCAATAACTAAGTACAAACTCAAAATGAATGTAGTAGTGTGGTATATATGCTTTCTTATATTAGCTACCTATAGCTAGCTTGCCTCTTCTTAATGCAATAACATCAATCTCAACATACATACATATGTGTGTATATATATATAGAGAGAGAGAGAGGGGGGGGGGGGTGGGGGATAGGGGGTAGAGGGTGTGGGTGATATATATATATACACGGTGGCGGCTACAGTGCTGAATAACACACCATGTGCTACAAGACAGCACACGGTGTTACCATAAACAACACACATTATATTTTAATATAATACAAATACATCACATAACCTAACAGCACATGATATAGTTTCACAAATTTCAGCACATGACATACTCTCATACAGTACACGTTATAATTATGAACTAACAATACATGCTTTTATTACAAACAACGCGTATTGTATATGATAAAGACGTGTGCTGTTTCTATATTTTACGTGTGCTGATTTTCCAAATTCAGCACCTTAACCTTTTATATATATATATATATATGTGAAATTGAGAAGAGGGTAGGAGGCAGGAGAGGATGGGTTGGATTAGGATGGTATATATGTATTGATTAATATATATATTTATATATATATATGTGTGTGTGTGTGTGAATGAATGATAGAATAGGGAATAGAATGTAGGAAGTAGGTTGGGGGCAAAGCAAATGAATACAGGCCATCATCACTCATATAACAAATACCAATAATTATACCAACACACAAATCATATGGTAAATAATTATTAGTTTAAATTTAAAGTAGAAATCAATTACGTTGTAGAAATGAATAGGATAGGAGAAGAGAGGACCACCAAAAATAAATTGAAGGCAAGCATGCATCCATCCATCCGCCTAGCTATATTGCAATTCAATTAATCATTATTATTATTATTATTAATTATATTAAAGGGAGGGTGGTGGGTTCATATGCATGTGCATGTGCATGTCTCAACCCACACACAACAAACAAACTCCACGTGATTATTTAGACTTCATATTTAATATTACTAGTAGAGTATCATTTATTTAATTATTTATCTTATATTAATAATCCATATATCAAGGCAGGTGTGGTACGTACGTACCATTTTCACCCAACTATCTCTGCTCTGTTCTGTTCTGCTGTGTGTGTGTTTTTTACTTTACCTTATCCCTATCCTCCAATTCTTTATATCTATATATATATATATATATATAATATCATCTCTTAAATAATATTTAATTAATTGATTGTTGATACGAAGTGATATGATATGATATGTGTTATGGGGGCTGGGGGCAGTGTAGGGTAGGGGGTAGGGGTAGGGGTAGGGGAGTAGGGTAGTTGTATCAATGTTGGTGTGTGCAATTAATTGGGAACAAAAAATGGGTGCATGGTTCCACCAAAGTCCATCTATTAATTTATTTATTTATTTATTAACCTGATTTCTTATATACATATTTTTAAATTTTGCTAATATATATATATATTATTTCAAATAACTATTTTTTTAATAAAAATATTACATCAAATATTTAATTTTTACTATTTTTAAATTCTCAAAAACCATGGTATGAACTAGCTTTAATATTTAATAAATTAAATTAAATTCGTCGACATAACCACGAGAGAGTGTGGCATATTTCACTGTCACAAATCATCTTCACAGATCCACATGCCTTTTCAACGACACGACACGTGGCACCACGCCCCTCTCCTCTCTCCTACACACATACATATATTGTCTTGAAATATTAATTATATTTACAAAATTATTAATTATGGAGTAGAAATAAAATAAAAATACCAAGTATGATAATCTATTTAGAAAATTGTAATCTGTTTACACAATTTAACCAAAAAGAGACCAACATCTAGAGTTTTAAAATAAGCCTTTCCACTAAAATTCAGACTGAAAATGAGCAAAATTGCAGTGCCATAAACACCACTTTAAAAAAAAAAAAAAAAAAAAAAAAAAAAAAAAAAAAAAAATTCAATTCAAAGGCAATGTAATATATGCATTAAAAAATAATTGCATTTTCCTATATCAATTTATTTTTTTTACAAAATAATCTTATCATATTACAAAAATTCTCCTAAATATGCATGCTAATGGCAATCAGCTTCTAGTGTTTATTTGTCTGGGAGTTGGAATTTGAATACCGAAAATTTTTAATTGAAATAGTTATATAAGCATGGTATTTTTTTTCGTTTAAGTTAATTTGTCTACTTTAGCTAGAGTACAGAGTTTTAGGCTTTATGTAATTAGTAAGTAATTAAGAAGTGTATTTAATAAAAATAATTATAGAACAAAATTAAGATAATTAAATAGTTTAATTAAAATAAAAAAAATTATAATTTATAAACTTTAAAATGTGATTAAAGTGTATAATTATATTTTCAATAAAAATGACAAATTATGTAAGACAGACTAAAATAGAAAGAGTGGACAAATTATACGGGACCGGAAGGAAAAATATAAATAAGTATTAATGTAATATTTTAATGTAATATCGATTTTTCATATAATATAGAAAAATTAAAAATAAATATTTAATTTGATATTTTTTAAAAATAAAAAATTGTATTAATTAATAGTGAAAATCTTTCGTAATCCTTCAAAGAAATACACTTTTGGCAAACAAAATTACATAATGTAAAAGTAGTTTGATAAACTACAAGTAACAGAACATCTGCCAAAACAAAATGTCAACATACATATTTATATATTTCAACTATCTATTGACTATGATTTAAATGAAAGCTGATAGTATATATTGTACATAGCCCATTAGGGGTCATATATACTCCTATATAAATAAATATATTATAATTTACTTTTAATTATATAATATAATTTCTATTTCCGCAAATATTTTGATATGATATTAAAGTTCTAAATTAGAGTTTACTTTTTCAACTGTGTTATTGTCCTATTTCGCCGTCAAGGTCACCGGTTGACACTGCCACGATCATCGCCTCCTCTTCGCCGAGATCGGCCCGTCCCCAAAGTTTTGTCGCCATCAACGGCGCATCGCAATCCCATGCGCCAGTGACGCAAATCAGCGTTGGACCTTCTTCTCTGCCGCCGAGCGTGACAATGCATCTGGCGGTTTTCGGCCTCCGCCTCCTGTTTCGATTCCCGACATTTTAGTATAGTCAGTTTTGTCATCTAATTTGAATTTATTTTGCAACTGTTATTGGGTTGGATTACTCAATCTAATTTCTTGCATGATTTTCTACGCATGCTATACTATTTTGTATATTCTCACTTCATAGTATGACTTTTAATATGGACCGTGTGGAAGCTTCCGGGATTACTATTTTGCTTTATGGTGATAATTATAATTCATGAGCTGAATCCATGAAAAGCTTCTTCATTAGTAAAATATTATGGTGCTATGTTACTAGTGACTTTACTGTACCGGTTGCTCATATTGTCACTTCTACGGCGTCTCTCACCAATAAAGAGCTCATAAATCATCGGGAAGCCTTGGAGATTGGGATAATAAAAATCATATTATTCTTACTTGGATTCAGAATACCTCTTCCAAGTCTGTTTAGATCGAATTTAGCCGCATGGACACTGCTAAGAAAGCTTGAAATTATTTGCAATATTGATATCAATCCACTGTGTATGCATTATTATCAGCTTATCGGGTCGTTAAAAAATGCATTGACGCATGAATCGGGCAAGGATATAAATGAGTTCTTTTCTACTATACAATATATCTAGGATCGCATTGATGAAGCAGATATACATATTGAACATTTTCGATTGATTCAGCTCTTAATGAAGCTTGGTCCATAATACGAATTTGTGCATGCTTCTTCGTTTCATCGTCATCTCTTGTCTTCCTTGGAAACAACAGTAAAGGAGATTTTATTTGAGGACACTCATCTCAAGATGCTCAAGGCTCCTACCATTGATTCGAACTTGGCATTTTCCTCCCCCACTCCTTATTACAGGGATGCTCGTAAGGATGTCCAGCCACCTCAGTCTGATAAGTGTCACCTTTGCCGAAATGCTTATCATATTTTTATTCACTATCTTAAAATTGTGTGTCACTATTTTCATCGGAAGGGCCATATCCTTCAGAATTATCCCAAGAATTCAAAGAATTGTGCAATTTAATTTATGAAATTAATAAATTTTGAGGTCATTTTAAAACTACTTTCAATAGATGGTTTTCAATTCCAAATACAATATTATTCAGCAGGCATGATTTTTAGTAAAAATATATTATTTCATTCCATTATATTGTATATTTTTATAGCATAAAAATGAATATACTATATGTGACACCTCGTCCTGCAAGCTACCCAAAGCCAAGCATGTCAGGATCATAAACTGATCCCACAGATCAACACGAGTACTTATAGGACGCTTCCTTCATCACCCACGCGCACTTTGGGAGACTTTCCAAAGGTCACATATCCTCAAATTATTATGTCCTCACTCACGCGCACCTTGGGAAGTCTCTCAGGAAGTCAGTCATCCTCAAATTATTTCAGGGTAAGCACGCTTAACTTTAGAGTTATTTCAGTATGGCTTTCGAAAAGGAACGTGCATATTGTTAACACGAATAGTCTATTCAATCCATTTAACTTCTAATCAATCTTGAATGGCCTAGCATCGGTTTATCCACGATAATTGGGAGTTGGCCAAGCAACCGGCCAACTCTGTAGTATCACACTGTAGGTCTGTTTAATTAGTTAATTTTTATTATAATAGTGATTTAAATATAATGTTTTATTAAGAAAATATATATATTATTTTTATAAAAAAAATTTGAAAATTAAATAATAAATAAATAAAATTATATAATAAACACATCCAATATAGGCTTTATTATTTTTTAATTTAAATTGAAATTAATATTATTTTTTCTGTACAGTTTTAAATAAAAATATATTTTTATCTTTCACAAAATAGCAAATTAAACTAATTTTTAAATAAAAACTCAAATTAACATGTTATTTTAAATCAATTTCAAATCACAACCAAACAAATCTTCAAATAAACCTATAATAGTATTATATTATAGACTATCCGTTTCACCCAACATTTTTATATAAAATGATCTTAGGTGTGTGGCATTA